GTGGTTCCGAAAGAAAGAAAAGGGGGAAATATTAGCTATTTTACACAAGATGTCAATGTGACAGTCATTTTTCTTTTTAATAAATTTATTTATTTATTTTTGGCTGAGTTGGGTCTTTGTTGCCGCGCTTGGGCTTTCTCTAGTTGCAGCGAGCAGGGGCTACTCTTCATTGTGGTGCGAGGGCTTCTCATTGCTGTGGCTTTGTTGCGGAGCACGGGCTCTAGGTGTGTGGGCTTCAGTAGCTGTGGCTTGCAGGCTCTAGAGCACAGGCTCAGTAGTTGTGGTGCACAGGCCTATTTACTCCGCGGCATACGGGATCTTCCCAGACCAGGTCTCGAACCCGTGTCCCCGGCATTGGCAGGCGGATTCTTAACCACTGCACCATCAGGGAAGCCCGTGACAGTCATTTTTTAATGAGAAGACTGTTCTTCTCTTTCTCCTCCACCAATTCAACCCTTGCTACATGATAGTTTGTCTAAAACTAGTACAAATGTTGATTTGCTCTGAATTGCTTAATATTTTTGTTGTGGAAGAATTACAGGTCCGTCTTGAACTTACTTCTTGAAGAATTATACAACTCCACTCCTCCACCACCTCTCATATTAAGTAAAACCCTTATACCCTTATAGGAAAGTTTCAAATGAAAATATACAATGTTTGTCATAACCTTTGGTATTCCTTCTCAGTAACAATAGTAAGGGAAAGTGACCCCATGTTTCTCCATTCATAATAATAGACACATATCTAAATAAATACTAGCCTCTGCAATTTAAATTCCATACAGGTAAAAGGTTCTCAGTGAAGGTCAAGAATACAGTAAAACTTCATTAATTCAAATTTTGCTTATTTAGAAGTACAATAAGTTAGACTCATGGTATGCCACTATTATGAACACATTTACTAAGCAAAATATTATACAAAAATTATAAAGGAAAAAACATTAGACTGAAAAACACTCACTCATGAGAGTTTTAAACATTTATTTATATTGCTTTTCTCCTAATTAAATGAAATTAATGTTATTTACTGACTCATCTTGCAAACAAATCGGAGCATTAGATGCCATTTCAGAAGATTTAATCTTCACAACTTTCAGATATTTTTTATATTTATTTAAAACGCATTTCCTTGAACTATATGATTGTTGAGTATAATTGCAAGATTCTAATAGCTCTTCAAGGGAGTATAAATTAGTAAATTATTACTTACTGTACTAGCTTTAAAAAAATGTCCTCCCCTTCCATAAACTAAAGGCCATGTGTCTTGGTCTGTACTGGTCTAACGTGCCAGCACATCTCCCCAACCCCTGTGTATCTGTATCTTGGTCATGTCAGACGGACACTGACAGGACACTAGGACCACCTCTGCAGTGATTGCCTGAACTTTTTGCCTGCTCAATATGGCTCCCCCTTTTGGGGGGTATTGGTACCTAATCCCCTTTAGGAAATTTCCTCTATTTTTAGTTCATGTGGACTATGGCATCTTTGCTTAGGGTCCTCAGAAAGAGGAGCCTGAGGCAAATGGCTTATGTGCTACTACTTAGTTAGGGAGTACAGTCCCAGGGAGAAAGAGTAAGAGACAAGCAGAGAGGAAGAAAAGCCAATATAAGAATGTGCTATCAAGCTGTCCTCCAAGGAGCCTTTTAAACAGTATTCTTAGGAGAGTTTCTCCTGGAGAAGAAAGAGGGAAGAATTTATCCATCAGCTTCTATCTCCCTTTGGTCAAAGGTTTGCCCAAGGTTATACAACTAGAGTGGTGGGTTAAAGATTCAAATACAGGAAGTCTGGCTCTAGAGCCCTTGGCCATTCATCACATGTTCTCATAAATGTTAGTCATTGATAAGAACTAAGGAGAAAGTAGAAGCAAGGATAGTGGGCAGGGCAGGATTTGGAAATTTTCAGTTGACAAGGGATGTGGCTTCACTGAGGTGATATTTGAGTAGAGACCTGAAGATCAATAAGATCTCTAGGGAAAGAGCATTCCAGGAAATGCATAGAACTGAGATGCTGTGTTTGATGGATAATGAAGTAAATGTGGCAGCAGCAGTGTGAGTGAGAGGAGAGCAGCAGGACATAAGGCCAGAGAGAAGAGAGGGCTACAGATCATGCAGGGCCTTGGGCCATTGTAAGACCTTTGGCTCTTACTCCAGGATGGGAAGCCATTGACAGGTTAGGAGCAGAGGAGTGATATGCTCTGACTGAGTATTAATAGAATCATTAGGATAATAGAGAAAAAAGGGGCCAAGGTAGAAGCAGGAATAAGCAGTTATAAGGCTTTTGCAATTTCTAGGTGAGAGAAACTAGTGTCTTTGTCCGGGGTGGTGGGAGTGGAGGTGATGAAGTGTAATTGGGCCCTTGATATATTTTGAAAGTGGAAGCAGGTTCTGCTGATGGATTAAGTTAGAAATAAGTAACAAAATAAGTAATTAGAAAAGGCCTTATATTGAGAAATTTGAAAAAATATTTTGACTAACTCATGGGATAATGAAGAAATCCTAATGAAAATTTTAAAAGGAAATATTTAGAACCAAATAAAAATATGTGAGATGCAGCTAAAGCATACTTGAAGGAAATTTACAACTTTAAATGCTTATATTAAAAGAGAAGAGAGACTAAAATTTAATAATTAAGTATCCAACTCAAGAAGTTAGGAAAATAACAGCAGAATGCATTCAAAGAATTAGAAGGAATTATCAATAGTAAATTAGAGAAATCAATATAACATATGATAAGTATAAAACAGAAACAACAGTCAAAAAACTGTTTCTTTTAAAGTATTAATAAAATGTATATACTTGGCCAAACTGATTAATTAAAAAAAAGCAGGTAAATAATATTAGGAACAAAAGAAAGATATAAGTATAGATGCTGAGAAATTAAGAAAATAATTAAAGGATATTATAAGTAAATTTATGTTAATAAATATTATAACTTAATGTAAATAAAATGGCGAAATTCCTGGACGAAAGTAATTTAACAGAATAGAATCAAGAAGAAATGGAAAGCTTGTATAGTCCAATAATCACAGAAAAAAATAGAATCAGTAGTTAAAAATCTCCCCACAAAGAGAACACCATTACCAAATAGTTTTATTGGCAAATTCTACCAAACATATAAGAAACAAAATTTCAGAATATTACAAAAGAAGTAACACTTCCCACCTCATTTCATGAGGCTAGGATAAACTTGATACCAAACCTTGATGAGGATAGTTTAAGAAAATTACATGTTAATATCATTTATGAACATACAAGCAAAAATCCTAAAGAAAATATTAGCAAATTAAATACAGCAATCTGTAAAAAAGATAATACACTGTGACCAATTTGGATTGATCCAGGAATGCAAGATTAGCTTAAAATTTTTAAAAATTAATGTAACTAATATATAACCAATGAAAGGATAAATAATAATATGAGCACATCTCAATAAATGTAGGAAAAAGAACTTTACATAACTCAACATACATTTAAGAAAAAAAATCTTAACAAAATGGGATTGATAGGAAATTACTTAACCTGCTACAGAGTATTACAGTCCTAAACAGACTTTAAAAAAACTAATTGAGCTGTTTCTTAAATGTATATGACATGGTAAAGGGCGAACAAGAGCCAATTTCCAAAGAAGAATAATAAGGTAAGGGTACTTGCCCTGCCAAATATCAAGATTTACCAGATTTAATCAACACAGTATGGTACTGGACAGGGAGAGAGAAATGGGCAAATTGAAGAAAACAGAACACACAGAAACAGACCCACACTTAAATGGAGGTGTCATATTTTATAAAATGGTTACTGCAGGTTAATGGGAAAGTAATTGCTGCCAGGACAAAAGAAAGAGAGAGAGACAGACAGACAGACAGAGAGATGAAAGAAAGAAAGAAAGAAAGAGAAAGAAAGGAAGGAAGGAAGAAAGAAAAAGAAAGAGAAAAAAAAGAAGGAAAGGAAGGAAGGAAGAGAGGGAGAGAGGGAGGGAGAAAGGAAAGAAAGACCTTGGACCTTGCCTAACATCATCTCTGATCATCCCTTCCTTCATTTAATCTCCTTCCACAAATGTCTGTTTCTGTGAATGGCAATACCATTTACCCAGTTGTCCAAGCTACAGACCTGGGAGCCATCCTTGCCTCTTTTTACTCCCTGAACATCATGTTCTATTAATTCTCAAATCTGATACATACACTGTCCCATCCTTTTACCCCTCCTTTACCGCACTAACTCCTACTAAGACTTCCGATCTCTTACACGGCATTTCTGAGTTAGGTTCTACTCAGTGGTCCCATCACACCTTGTACCCTGTTGTTATTATACTCACGTTATTGCAATTGCCAGTTTATTTCTAGGTAAGTTTCTGAGCATCCCCTAGAAATTCCTCGACAATGAGTATCCAGTCTTGTTCATAGTTTTATTTCCAGTGTCTATCACTGTGCCTGGAATATAGGAAACAATTATTAAATATTTGGATAATGCATGAATTAATAAATAAATAAATGTGTGAATGATGGCTACAAAGTAACCAAATTCTACAACTGAAATATTTGAAATTTGTTTAAGCTTTATCATTCACTCATCTCACTCTGTTATTTGAAGTTATTTATGTTCCCCAAATAGATTTAGTTTAAGACAATATTATTTCGGGTTGTAAAACCACTTTTCATACATTCTTCCTTTCTTCACATAGATTAGAGATATTTTATACAGGAGCAAAAAACATTCCAAACTAATTCAGTTCTGTATTTCCAGAATGATGTTTCTCTGAAAGGGAATAAATCTTCCATGTCGTAACACAGCACAGGTTGTACATACATTTTAAAAATTGCTATCTTTCCTCTTCATTAAAATAAAACGTTAATTAGAATTGTCTGGAACATCTTTAGGTGCCCAATACATGTTTGATGAATGAATAAAATATTACAGGTATAAGCAAGTGTGCTTATTTTTTTATATATAGGAATGACTCTTCCTATTCACTTATTATCAATTTTCTTGTCATTTCTTTCTGAAGGAGTTTGATTGGCCAATAGAAGGGCTGCTTCTTCCAAACGGTCCTCCCATGAAGAAACCCATCTCTAAGACACTAGAGCAATATGTCCCTGTGAGACTCAGAGTTTTGCGGAATGGAGACAAGAACAAAACCAGAGCCCTTATTATAATCAGTCCAGACATCTCACCTAGGCAGAAAATGCAGTAAGAACAACTTGTTCATATTTTGCATCAAGCATACTTTCTAATTTCTACAGATTTTTGTCTTCTTGATTACAGATGTTTTTCTGGGGAAATTTTGTGTTTATTCTTTAAAAAGGGCTCCCATATTGATATTTGGAGGTAAAAATAGATACTAAAATTCATTTAGTTTCTATGTTAGGAACTTAATTTGAACACTGGTGATTTAGGCTGGCCATGAGAGAACGTGAGTTAGAAATAAGTAGTTCTGATAAAAAAAAGTTTTATGATCAATATCTATTTTGAATTAGCATTATTGTTTGGGTTTATTAATGTATTTTGAAATAAATGAGCTCATAAATTCCTTCTTAAATCTAATTTTGTAATTTCTTATTTAAGTTAGTATTTACTTTGTTATTATTTACATTATTTAAGTTATTACACACAATTATTTACATTTAGATATTTGGAATATTTAATGAACAAATATAGTTCTCAAAATATAACTTTACATAATCTATATCCTTGCCTTGGAATAACATTTTAAAAGTTTACCATCCTAGAAAAGCATCGATCTGCCCTTTAGCTTACGTTATGAGGTTGGAATAAAATCTTCCCAAACACCCAGTATTTCTGCAACATTGGAGAAAGTCACCTGCTGTATTTTCATTACATTTTATGACAAAAGGAATCATAGATCAGGGCAAAACTCTGATGTAAAGAATGAATTAAACACATTGTTTCTCATATTATTAGCTGTGATATTACCTCTTGACCTTTCTTTTGAGATGTTTAGAATATTTGAGGCTGCTGATAATAGTTTAATATTACTTTCTTCACATTGATTAAATATACTTCATACATCACTGAACAATGAGTAACATTCAGATCGGCTGTCCACTGAACTGCCTATAAAGATGATAAAGTAAAATTTTAATCTTCAAAGTAAAGTCAACCCTGAAATTGAAATCTTTGACGCATACATTTCATAATTAGCTCATTCTACTAGACATAAAATGTGAGGGTAATGCCCTTAAAGTAGTATATGACTTTTTTTTTAACATGCAAAATTAACAGGTAATTTCTATCCCTTCCTATCTTTATGTGTCTCAAAATTATATAGAGATTTAATCTGATCAATTTATGTTTTAAAATGCATGATTCAATCAGGTAATCCAAACGTAATTTGAGAGATTTGTTAATTTGGACAGCTATTCTAGTAGAGAGTATGTGAAACTCTCTGCTAAGTTCATGGAACAGTGTGTCCTGGTTAATCAAATATTCATTTTGTTCTCTACATGAATTAATTATTCCCAAATAATTAAAATACAGTGGCATACATTTGACATCAAAACTCTACTGAATATAGTTTAATTTTTCTTGGCTGATTCAGAAAATTTTCTACAGGATCATCAATAGCATTCCCCACACCTTCCCGCCAACCTTTCTGTAAGTACTGGTAACAGAAGATTTAAATAGGGAGTGTTTTGGTTAACATTACATTTGAACACTGTATCTTTCATTTAATAAAATACAAAGATTCTAAAAATACACAATTCTTTCTTACTTGAAAATTTGAATGATGTATATTGCAATTCTTTTACTGTGATCGTCATTAATTTTTTATTAAAAACATTTTTAGTTTTGGATTGATAACTGAAACAGTATCTGAGTAATATATGAATAAACATATAAATATGAACAGTATATGAATAAAACATCAAAGGCAAAATGAATGTAATCTCTGCATTTTCTTCAAAGTTGATAAATTCACATCTCAGAGTGTTCAACATTATTGGAAAAGGATTCAGATATTGAAAATTTATTTTCTTGTATAAATTTTTCATAGTATAAATGTTTGTGACGTTTAATATTTAATTGTAGTAGTATATGAAATCCTATTTTTTTAAGAAAGGCATTTTTTTTAGAGTAAATAATGATAAATTAAAACCTCACTATTTATTCACATACTTAAACAAGCTGAATGATAATTGACAATGTATACTGCCATATCAATCAAATCTTGGATCATTTTTTTCAGAAATGTTGACACTGAAAGGAAAGGGAATGTGAAAAATTATGTCACTAAATATTCCGAAACAGAAACAAACCAGACTGGATTTCACCAACTTTTGGAGAGGTAAATACTACCCTAAATGCAAAGATATATTCCATTCAAGTGCCTGAATGATTATAACACAAAATACCTATGTACCTATATAAGAAAACAATTGTTAATATAGTGATTCTGGAGTTTTTAATCTGTGAAATATGTAAGCTATAAGTACATGATACCAATGCTAATTAATATGTTTTTCCCCAAAATTTCTATGTCTGGTTGTTTCCCCTAGCTTCTGAACTACAAACTCTGTAAATGTAAATTATCCCCATTAAAAAATATATATTTCACAATTTTACAGCACTTTGGTTTGAATTTGTTTGAACTGAGGGCAGGATATTTACCTACTTTAAATCAATTTTTAAATGTCACTAATCTATACCATATTTTTATTATACATTATTATAATAAAAATTTTATTATATATTATTATAATAAAAATTATTTATAATTACATTATAATTTTTCTTTTCATCAGTATTTTCCTACCCAAACAAGATTTATTCCCATAGAATTTGATAGCTGTTCAAAAGTAGAGCACCTGGTATAAACTTTTTCACAAAATATGTCTTGCTGAATATGAGAGTGTAGTTTTATAGAATTTAAGGAAAATTATGCTATCCTTTAGTAATTTAATAATTCACTTTAGACGGTTTCGAGGATCTTTTGTTGTTGTTGATTCTTCCATCTGCAAAGCTGAAGGGAGACCTAACAGCATAACAAGACCCATTTAAAAATAATAGATATAGACCGTTTTTGTTGATATTTAAATTTGCAGGAAACATGGAGCATTGGAGAAACCAGTCCTGAGAGAACAAAGTCAGAGATAAGACTCTGCTTTTCTGGATACTCTGTAAATCCAAGCCACATGGTTATCAGTCCTAACTCTTGGTGTGAGGGTCAAAGGACTTCATGTCTAGGACTCTTGCCCCCATGTATTGGGTTGGCCAAAAAGTTTGTTTGGATTTTTCTGTAACATCTTAAGGAAAGACCCGAATGAACTTTTTTGGCCAACTCAGTAACAGAGAAATCCTGAACTGCTCACTCAGTATCTCAGCCTCAGTTTCTTCCCTGTTATTCTATGATGATGCCCTCTCAGGAGGCCATATGATGTAGTAAAAGACCCAGAGAGTTTTAGGTTTGAATTTCAGCTTTTGTACTCACTAGCTTTGTGACCTTGGGCAAGGAACTTAATCTCCAGGCTCAGTTTCCTTATCTGTAAAATGGGCTTCTCAGAAAGGGTGTGAGAATTAAACACGAGAGTAGACATGAAGTGCTTGCAGTGCGTGATCCATTTTAATAATGTGTTGCTGACTTATATGTGTCAGGTGCTTTACAGGTATTCACACGTTTAGTCTGTAAGATATCCCTATGAGATAAGTACTGTTACATCTCCCTTTTACTGATGGGGAAAATGAGGCTCAGAGAAGTTAAGTAACTTCTCCAAGGTTACACAGCCAATACATGAGAGGGCTAGAGTTTGAACCCAGGCAATTTGACCACAGAGTACACATTCCTTATTAGGCACTTAAGAGCCAGTTCTTTTCTTCTCTCTCCATTGATGTTGGCTGGCACATGAACTAGTTAGAGGAATTCAATACAGAGGAAACAGCTTATCCCGTTCTCTCCAACCCACCTACATGGGCCAGTTGAATTCAGCACTATTAAAATAGGGTTTCCACAGAACTTGTTGGAAAGTTCCTGATACGAGTCTACTATTTGTACCCTGAAAATACTGTGCAATATTAAGGGTCTGGGCTAGTAAAAGGTAACAACTTAGTAAACTACTTCCTATATATAAAATTTGAAGTTTTAGGAGTTACTGAAGACAGGGTGATTCTGTAGATGAAGTTAAGGAATATATGCCTGGTGGTAGCTACATCAAACTAAAGATGTGTTCTTCAGTGGTTGCTTATGTTTTGCCAGTGTAGCCAGTGCAAAGATAACTCTTCTAAAGCACAGTAGTGAATTTAGATCTGAATTTTAGCATCTACTGTTGGATTTGCATTTCAGAAAAGAAAAGAAGTATAAAAAAATAAAATAAATAAAAAATAAAATAAAACAGGTTTCCAAAAAAAGAAGAAAGAAAAATCCACCAGCTTCCCCTTCACTTTACTCTCCCACTTGTCCTAAAACTGGTTACTCCCATAGTCCAAAATTCTCTGAGGAAAATGTGAGTGGGATCAGATTATCATGATTGTAACTCTCCTTAGGTCATGCTTGGATTTGGGGTGAGTAGCAGGAATTGGGTTGGGTCTTTGGGCAGCATCCAGAGAGAATTAAGCCAATCTTCTGGTTGGGGCTCAATTCTCTTACAGTTCTCCCTCCCACCCGCCCCGCAATACCTCCACCCGACAATTCCTATGGATGAGAAACCCAGTCCAGTTCTCACCAGCCCATCAGCTTCCAGAGTTGTGACAGGAGAGGGAGAGACTTAATTCCCACTGGCTTATTTCCTTCTAAGACCTCTCAGAAAAATGGAGGGCCTAATTACCTGCTCAATTGCTTTTAGCCAGCTAAGGTAATAAAATTGAGAAATATTTTTCATACAGCTGAGTCTTCTTGATGAGCATAAAGTCACTTCTAACTCATTTACTATAGACAGTACATTCTAATATAAAACAGCATTCTTTAGGACACGACCCATCACTCTGTTTAGCTCTACTTCCTCTTCCCCAGAATTCCACCTCTTTACCTCTACCCTAAACTGACTATATAGATTCCAGCCTCTCCACCTCCAGCCCATCTTGCACTTTTCTGACAGTTAACTTTCTAAAAAGCAGATCTGCCAACACCATACCTCTACTATAATTCCTTCAATGACTTCCTGATACTTAACGGGATAAAGGCCAGGTTCATTAGTCTGGCATCCTAAGTGCTTTCAGTTGGTTTCCATCTTTTTTACCAGCTTCATCTGGCTGTACCTCTTGTCCACAAACTCAGCTCCAGCCATATAAAACTTCTCTAAGTCCTGACCCTACTTGGTTAACTCTGGTTTATTCATCAAGGCCCACCCCGAATGTTACTTCCTTACCTGAGGCTTCCCTGGAAGAATTCATTGTTTTTCCCCTGTGTCCTCACCTCCCTGGCCAGGTGCCTGTGACAGCACCCACTAGTTCATATCACACTTCAGTTGCTGACTGGTCTCTCCCCGCTACTAGAGAACGAGCCCTTCAGGAAACAAGGAAACTATCGTTGATCTCAATATCCACAGGGCTGGCCCAGAGCTTGTTTGAGGGGGAAAAAAATCACTGTTTAATGTTTAACCTGGCAAAAATTTCCTATTTGAAAGGGAGTTAAAGGGCTATATATAGGGATCACTTCTGGTGGAGAGAGATGAGGAACTGCTGGGTGATGGATGTAACTTTGGAGAGAGTAGAACTTCAACAGCAAAAGCTGAGGAAGGTGCTTAATGTAGAAGGGAGAACAAGAGAAAAGGCACACAAATAGGAAAGCAGGGGCATACTGAGGAGTGAAAAATAAATAATGATGTGGGTTTTTTTGTTATTTTGATTTGTTGATCATGCTTGGTACTGTGCTAAGCATGTTTCATAATCAACCCTTAATCTTCACAGCAACCTTGAAAGGTAAGAAATTTAGGCTTAGAGAGCTTAAATAATTTGCCCAGTCTTAACTTGGAGAGGGAGAATGCGACTCAAAAGGGGGCTGCTGGTTTCCAGAGCCAAGCTCTTGACTATCCCACCGTCCTGCTGAGCTAGTTGTTGTTAATGATCCAGGCCCGTGATTTCTTTTATTTCCTCTCTTCTCTGCTGGAAACTTTGCATGTGCAAGGTCAATTTTTGTGTCTCTTATTACAGGTGCACTGAAATTTTAAATTTACCTTCTGCAGCTCGGAGATTGTTCAGTGAAAAGGGGAAGGAAATCTTTGCCCTAAAAGACCTTCAAAGAGATGAACTGGTAAAGACATGAGCGTGAAACTGGAAATATTAATATATTGATACTATTAAAAGGAAAGCGTTTTTAAATATAAGACTTCACCACTTTTTTCCTGTTATTTTTTCTCAGAATTATCCTAATTCAGCAACCATCAGAAAGTAATAAGAATAGCTGATTGTTGAGCGCTTACTATGTGTCAGGCATGATTTTCAGGGCTGTATGTAATAGAACTCATTTAATGCTCATCACAACCTCTGTTATAAATGAGGGCAGAAACTGGAGAGGACCACATTATTAACCACTTGTGGTTTCTGCCCTCTTCTTTTTTTTTTTTTTTTTTTTTTTGCGGTACACGGGCCTCTCACCGTTGTGGCCTCTCCCGTTTTAGAGCACAGGCTCCAGACGCGCAGGCTCAGCAGCCGTGGCTCATGGGCCCAGCCGCTCCGCGGCATGTGGGATCCTCCCGGACCGGGGCACGAACCCGTGTCCCCTGCATTGGCAGGCGGACTCTCAACCACTGTGCCACCAGGGAAGCCCCTTAACTTTTTTTTTTTTTTTTTTTGCCCTACTCTTTTAAGGGGGTAGATTCTGTATTCTTTTCGAGGCCTTCAAAATGTAGTTATTTAATGATTTCTTACTAAATGATTATTTTACCTTTTCAGAAAAAAATAATCATATCTAGTTTTTCACACACTCTATTTGGGAGGCTGGAGAAGGCTGAGAAGTGGAAGGACTTTAGCTGCCCAGTCTTTCCCCCGACTTACGGAATTTACGGTATCAGCTTGAGAAGAAAACCTGCCTTGATTGATGCCTGAAATTCTTTGAACAGAGAACCAAGCTTGTACCAAATTATCAGAACTTGACTCAGACTCTGAATGTAAAGACCCCTTGAAAGAGTCTTAAACCCAAGTACCAGTGACTAATAGCAGAGGCAGCATGGCAGAGTGGAGACCCTCTGTTCTTGGAGTCTGGTAGACAGTGTTGTGTTTTTCTAAAATTTATTTATTTTTATTTATTTATTTTTATTTTTGGCTGCATTGGGTCTTTGTTGCTGCACTTGGGCTTTCTCTAGTTGTGGCGAGTGGGGGCTACTCTTCATTAGGGTGCACGGGCTTCTTATTGCAGTGGCTTCTCTTGTTGCGAAGCATGGGCTCCAGGCGCGCGGGCTTCAGTAGTTGTGGTTCACGGGCTCAGTAGTTGTGGCTTGTGGGCTCTAGAGCACAGGCTCAGTAGTTGTGACCCACGGGCTTAGTTGCTCCGTGGCAGGTGGACTCTTCCCGGACCAGGGCTTGAACCTGTGTCCCCTGCATTGGCAGGTGGATTCTTAACCACTGCACCACCAGGGAATTCTAATTCTATCACTGCCAAGTTTTCTGTTTGTTTGATTTTAATATTTTTGTTTTTCCTGCTGTGCTTATTCACTGTGTTATTTTAGAAAGAATTTAAGGTAGATGCATTAAAACATATGACACAAAAAGGTAAATTTAACTTAAAGATAAGTCAATGAGGTCACCAGGGCTAAGCGAGTATGTGTGAAAGGAGGATGAGATGGACCCAGGAGTGATTGTTATACGGACCAACATATTTGCTAGAAATGAATCTGTCAACTGTTCTGAGCCACCAGCATGAGGATTGAAACATGAACAGTCACATGATGAAGTATGTCCATGAGAGAAAAATAACCCTCTTGATCAGAAAGAAGATATTTTTGAGAACGTTTTCCCTGGGTCCACGTACAAGTATGTATGTAATGATCAGTCAGTGGCCTTAAAAAAAGGCAACATTGAGTTTCTTTTTCTTTTTACCGAGTCTTCCTCAATATATTACTCTACTTTTTCCTCACTTCAAAGAAATATGTATTTATTTAAGGACATTTAGGAAGTACCTATAAGCAAAATCAAGAAGAAAAAGTATGATCCATAATTTCAGCATCTAGAAATATCCACATTAACATTTTGGTGCATATACTGCAAGTTCATTTATACCAGTGGTTGTCAGAGTTTTCTGTAAAGTGTCAGATAGTTAATATTTACAGACCATATGTTATCTATTGAAACATCAGCTCTGCCATTGTAGCACGAAAACATTCACAGATAACATGCAAATGAGTGGGCATAGCTGTATTCCAATAAAACTTTATTTACAAGAACTGGCAATTGGCGAGATTTGATCCTCAGCCATAGTTTACGAACCCCCAGTTTTTTTTCAGTGTTTAACTTTTAATTTTTAAATTTTTTAACATCTTTATTGGAGTATAATTGCTTTACAATATTGTGTTAGTTTCTGCTGTATAAAAAAGTGAATCAGCTATATGTATACATATATCCCCGTATTCCCTCCCTCTTGCATCTCCCTCCCACCCTCCCTATCCCACCCCTCTAGCTGGTCACAAAGCACCAAGCTGATCTCGCCGTGTGATGCAGCTGCTTCCCACTAACTATTTCACATTTAAACCCCTGATTTATACCCACTTACCTTCCCCCATCCCCCCCTTCCTTCTTTCCTTTCTTTAAAAAATTATTTTTTCTACAACTTTTTATTTTGAAATAATTAAAGATTCATAGGAAGTTGCAAAGATAGTATGGAGAAGTGTTTTTTCAGTACAAAACCCTGTAGATCCATCAAACTTGTTGCTTTTATCAATAGTTTGTGCCTTTTATCACTGAGTATGGTGCCAGTTTGTTTAACCATTCACCTGTTGTATTCACCTGTTGTATTCACCTGTTGTAGGGTGTTTTGATTGTTTCCACTTTGGGTTATAATACTGCTGCTGTGAGCAGTTGTATCTGGGATTAGAGACTCATTTCTTTGGTAGGTGTATGTTTCATGTGGAGAACACTGGATCAATCCTGATCTGTCCATTGCTCAGCAGAAGAAGCAGATCTTCCTGAGGAACTTAGCATCAGATATTTCTAAAATTCAAACTTTCTGCAGTACACGTAAGATAGAGGGTAAGCATTGGAATTATTTACTTTATATATGTACAGCCAAAAAAAAAAAACTTGATGATATTGCTTTTTTTAAAAAAAATCCAACTTTGTTTAAACAGGTCATATTTCACCCCTGCATCTTGCTGTTTTGCTTTAGACTAATTTTTATGTTTAACAGAGTTGCATATTTTAATTCACACTGTACTTTGGATGTGCAGAGAAAACATACTTTCTTTATTTTGTCTTTAATAAATTGGGCCTTCTTTGTGAGCCCCAGCTACCCCCATCAAGGAAAACTTTAAATGTACAGTCAGGTTTAAACTTGTCCCATCCATTAATTTAAATAGTCCCTTTCGGGAAGGTTTTCAGGTTTCTCAGTTTCCAGACTCTCACTTTAGTTCTTCTGTAGGATGGAAGGAAAGAACTCGGGGTGCAGATCCTCTTGCTTTCTGAGCCCTGCTGGCTGAAGTCCATGGCTGGGTGACAGTGTTCCATTCTTTTGGCCCAGATAATGCTTTGGGTGGGTGGTACTTCCTGCCTGCCTCAGCCTCCCCTCTGCTCCCTCTGGCCCTCTGCAGCCTGGCTGTGGTTGGGCAGCCATCTCTACAAATCCTTGCTACAGAACCTCTTGACCCCTGCTTGGCAGCCCCTTCTGGAAAGCTCCCCTGCGTGGCTCTTAGTAAATGCTGGGTCCTGGCTGCACTTCCTGGAAACCAGCCCCAGGTTCATGTGGCTATGCCACAGATTGGCGTGGTGAGGACAGCTCGAGGTCACTCATCACCGCGTCCTGAACCATAGGCAATGTCCTCAGTGTCTCCTTGTCTAGCTAAGATTCCTGCAGCAAAGCCTGTAGGCAGAATCATGACACCCAGTGCTGGTTTTCTGCCTTCCTTTGTGTTCTGCCACAGATCCCCTCAGGCCCAGAAATGGTAGGTTTCCTCCAGGTCAACACTGAGATAAGCTAAATGGGAGCTAAAGGCTTTTGGAAAAGACCCTAAATCATGACAGTGTCATCTGACTTACATGGTCATTGTCTTGTGCCTGAATGTCAAAACTGTATTTGTACTTTCGCTTTCCTTTTGTAACAATGCTCATTCCTCATGGTCTACCACCTTCCCTTAAGGCTACCCCAGAATCAGGACAAAGGTCCTACATATAGAAGAGAAAAATCATTAATATAATTTAAAACATTATCTTATTGCATATCTTGAACACTGTACATTAAGCTTTGCATGTGTCTTTTAAGGCATTGGGAACTTTCACTGAGGAGTTTGGATGCCAGAGAATGACCTAGAGGCATACATCTAAATAATGGAACCCATTTGAATAGTTAGAATTTATAACTAACTTATTTTTGGAAAGACCTATTTTTTAGCACTTTTGACTGAGAATGTCTTGAGAGGAATTTACAAAAATTAAGTGAAATCCAATTTATTAAAGAGCAACTATCAATTATACTTAGAATGTATTCTCTTAGACCAAATAGCTGGAAATTTTCTGCATTTTTATTTTAACACGTGTTTTCAAAATCCTAGTGCTCTGAGGTCATAACTAATATGTCCATGCAATTTGTGCATTTCTCCTCAGCTCTTGTTTTAGAAGTCCAAAGTGACATTGTGTTGGGAGCCAAGCTTGTTGTGCGGAAACCAATTTTTGGAGAAGAGAAGCAAATTATAGAACCAGAGGAAAAGCAAGTGCAAAAAAATGCTTTAACATCGGGAAATGCTTCCAGTGAAATTCTGTAAGTAATCAGTGTGGCCAGAAAAGTTACCTGGTTCCTATTTGAACTCAGCTCATTAGCTCAGTAACACCACAGAGCCCATGCAGGGAACCCACGCCAAGTTTATGAAACTAATAGAAGTTGAAGAGCTAGTATTTAATTAGTTTCCTGGCAAAAGGATAGAGCTGGAGCTTCAGTGTTCAACAAGCACAATGATCTACTTTCAGTAATCTTGATATGATGTTGCTATTTTTAAAAGACTGTAATCTTAGAACTGGAGACATTTATTTGAGGAATTCATCATGGTTTTGTTTCCATAAACATGGACTTCAGGAACAATTATGCTTCTTCCTTAATGTAGGTTCAAGTTGAATGCATGTTAATATAAGTTATCATCCTGGATTGCTGAAATAGCTTTCTGATTGGTTTCTATCTCCATAATCTCCTCCTGCCAATTCACCTTGAAGTTTCATCTATGGACAATCTTTCTAAAACACAGTCCTCTTTATACAGTTCTTCAATGGCTACCTATTGCAGACAGAAGACAATGTTTAGTCTGGAATCCCAAGCCCTCCTGACCCTGGTCCAGGCCTGTCATTAACCCTCATTTGTACCCCCATGCCCACCTCCACTCCACACTTTTTCTTTGTGCCACATGAACTCCAAGCTCCAGCTCGGCAGCTACAAGCTATCTCTGGGCTGCGGCCTACTCCACTGATGCACTGCTGCAGGCCTCTCACCACGTATTCATTTCTCTCCAGCTGACTTGCCCCGTCCTCGGTCTGTGGAAGGATTCTTTATCATTGAAATCAATCATGACAATGACTGTACTAGCAATGTACTTATCAGTTCCCTCCCCTCTACTCCACCAACCACCACCAATTTGGGAATTCCTTGAGGGCAAAAACTCTATCACACGTGTTGTGTGAAGACCAGGATAACTGACTTTTGTCATCATGTACAGAATAAATGAAGGAATCATTGAATTAGTTTCCAAATTATAAAACCAAAAATAGCAAGTCAGTTACCATTGCAATAACTGAAAATTAATTTGTATACAAATTAATTTTCATTAATCATTGGTATACAAGCTGTTTTAAACAACTGTTTCTATCCTTAATTACAAGAATATTAACTTTTATGTTAGGAATCAAACTTCCTCATTTTGATGGGTAGTTCATCTGGTCCTACATCCTGACACTAACAAAGGCACCAGAAAGCCTTTTTCAGAAAGAGTGATTTGACCTATATTGTATCTTCCTCAATTGTTAGAGAATTGGCCACAAACTTTTCTAACATTCCCTTTTGTTCTTCTTCTAAAGAATGTATCTAGCCTCTGAGTTATTATACTGCACTTGGAAAAAAATAAATAGAAAGTAAAAAAAAAAAAAAGAAAGAGCATCTTTGAGAGCAAAGATTCTTGTTCTGATTCATAGATTTCATCAAGGCCTGAAATCTTTGAGCTAAAAGTCTTTGAGTCCACTCAAAACATAATGCAGGAGCATGGTGACTTAATAATACTGCACTTCATATTTGAAAGTTGCTAAGAGAGCAGATCTTAAAAGTCTTCATTACAAGAAAACAATTTTTGGAACTATCTGCAGGGATAGATGTTAACCAGACATATTGTGGGGATCATTTTGCAATATATACAAATATCAAATCATTATGCTATATACCCAAAGCTAATATAGTGTTATATGTCAATTATACCTCAATTAAAAAAAAAACATAATGCAGGAATCTCCTGCACATTCTAGGCAAGCTCGTTTGATCCAGCCTCTTCTTGAATACTCCTAGGAACAGGGAGATCACTATTTCACAAAGTGGCCCATTTTAATGTTGAAATAATAATTCAGAATACCTCTATCCTTCTATAACTCCATTGGTAAAGTAGACCCTACCCCACCTCACCCAGTTTCCATCACAATTTCCTGTTTTATTCCACTTGTGATATCCATTGTTTGTTTATTCATTTACTTATCTACTGTCTCTCTTCTTCCCACTAGAAGGTAAGCTCCGTGAATCCTAAGAACTTAACTGTTTTGTTCACCACTATTATCCCCAATACTTAGAACTCTGTGCCTACAATATAGTAGATGTTTAAGAAATATTAGTTAAAGGAATGAATGATTAAATAATGACTAGTTATATGAATGAATGAATGGACATGAATCAATAAAGCAAGATGTATTTTTAAATGGCTGTTCTAAAACTAACTTGACTGTCCTTCATTTGCTTGGGAGCCGAGGAGTATATGGATATCCCAAGTTAGAAAATCCCATCTGGATTTGGAGGAAGAATCTTGTTATGTCTAAGAATGACTTTTTTTTTGGTCTGTTGCCCTCAAAGAAATTGAGTTGGTAGGAAAGCTGTGCTTTTTATTTTCAACACAAGATGGCACTGTTGTTTCTTTAACTGTTAATGAGCTTTTTGTCTTCAGAAGCTGCTTGTGCTGCAGCTCTGAATAAGGCTGTTGTTACCCACCAATTTCATATCCACACGTAATACTTTTGTTACATTTGAAAAGTGTATGGTCTGCTCTGCTAACGCAGGAATTGTCCCTGGAGATTTGCGTAATTCGATATTGCTTGCAGTTACATCAAATTACCGCAAGCACCTTGGTGACCACAGCCTCCCCCAGAGAACTTTATTTACACATATGCACATTTAGAGTGCTGAAGTATGCTTGCCTGTGTATCTATCCTGCCTTCAGCAGAGCAGTCCTCAGTTGTGTCATGATCCCACGGAAGCAAGTGTACCGTAAACAGTGCCTGGGGATTTGATATATTCAGATCTGCATGGTGGTTATGTTTCCATTCACGATTTCATCTTAATAAGAGGCCACAAGGCCGACTCAGTTATTCAAACTATGACTGTTTACTCTAAGTGTTTTTGTGTATTATTCTCTATCAAAACCTGGCACGTTTCTGCTGGTGCTATTTGAGTCTCTCTAGATTTTTCTATTGAGAGGAAAAGTTATTAAGATTCCTTAACATTGTCTAATGAGTAAATTTTATGAAACCTAGTAATCTAGGCTGTCTGTTCCAGACAGAATTATGACACATTTATGGAGTAGGCAAGAGTCTCATTACACGTTTGTTATGAATTTCCAAAACTACTGAGTAGTCTTAATCTTAGTTTTGAAATATAATACATGACCCCATTTTCTTCCTGAGTAAATATAACAAAGATGAATGCTGCTTATTATGTGATTGAGGATTCATTTGCAGCTTTATATTAAAAAATCTAAATTGTGTATTAGTAGGATGTGAATTTGCAGTGTTAGGCACCATTATGGAAATATGACTTCCAGATCCACCAGCATCATTCAGGATATTATCAGACTACACCTCAGAGAAAATTCTGTGAGTATAAATCAGATTTCTTAGACTTCTGTTTCCTTCTGAACCTTGATAGAGATTCACATGCAAGAGCCCATCTCCGAATGAAGGCTTGTCACACACTCCTCAGGTATGCCTGGCAGGAAACTTCTCATAACTTTGATGAAGATGACAGTCTTCCAAAGAAAATGGAAGAAGAGCTCTTTGAAAATGTGGAACCAGAGAAGAAATACAGGTGAAAAGTTGCAAGGGATTCCTGTTAGAGATTTCTACCTGGTCTTAGATTCACTCACTTTAGGGCAAAAATATTACTGAAGATTTACATTACTGTTAGTTGCTCTTTACATCAACACACAGATTTTTGTGTTTCTTGTGTTTTTGACTGAAGTATTTACAAATACTGGTAGCAAGTACCTTCTCACTTTAGCTGTGTAATGTAATTTCTCGTTCACTGGTATCTTTTCTATTAAAAGGTAAGCTCATCCATCTTTGCCTCCTGAGAACTTAGGAGACAGAGCCTGTATATTAGTTGAATGAATGTGTAAATGAACTTATGAATAAGCATGTAAAATGCCTTGATGTCTTTAAGAAATTAGTAAAATGCAATTTCTTCCTTTTTAACTTTATTTTTTCTCTGGTCAATGTCCAGTGAAATGACAGGAATCTATAGTACTTGGTATTATTCCATAATCTTTATACATTTACTTAATGTTATAGCAGTTTACATGAATTAAACAGTTTTAGCACTTCAACACTTAGCATTAGTCCATGCACATAGTAGAGACTTAATAGACATTTACAAATTAATTGCCAATGCATTGTGATTTTTAATAAGGTTTAATAAGTCTGCTTAATGCCTTAAGAGATATTTAAGTATGAGATTCCTTTGAATTAACTTATTAGTGTATCATTATTTTGGTTTATGATATTTTATGAGTTGTTAGGGAAGATTCAAAAACTTGGAGAATGGGATTCTGTCTGCCAGGGATTCTGTAGATGGAGGATAGAAATGATCATGATTTGAACAGAACTCCTTTATTTCTCTCTGTTCTGATTCATTGCCCTGTTCCTACTCCTACCTCTTTTTCCCTTTAAATTATCTCAAGTGGATTTTTTCTTTGCTGATGAATTTCTCACGTTCTCTTGGATAAATATTTATTTCTAATATAAAATAAACTCAGAATTCTACTTTTTACATCAGCTTGACGGTGCAAAGCAAGTAACATTGCTGCTGTCCTGATGATAGTGCTTCCGCATTATAAGTGAATTTGGTTCATGGCGGGTCTCTTGCCCACAGAACTTGCTATCTCCAGCACATCAGTGCACAGGACATTTTTCTGCCACTAATGGGATTTTCTTTATCTCAGCCATTCTCCAAAACAGAGTAAACTGCAGAAGGTGTGCCACCAGCAGTTTGAATACAGAGATGGGCAAATTATAAGCTATGCTTCTCCTCAGCTAGTCTTGGGGGTGCAAGGCCCCAGCCTGCGTTCAGGCATGGAGGTTGTTTTGGTGGAGAAAAAAGCAGATGATAGTCATCAACACTGGAGGTACAAGGAAGACAGCAGGTAAACCCATTATATTTGGGCCTCAATATATCAAAGGGTGAATAGGAGCCTAAGAGATCCAGCATGGTCCCCACAGACCAGGCAGGGGTATATTTGAGGACTTTGGATTTTCTATTTAATGTGGCCAATCATATTTTTAACCTACTCAAGGAAGAGAAAGATTGTGAAGTCAAACGTAAGTGCTCAGTAGCCTACACACAACTCATCCACTACAGCTTCAGGTAAGAAACGTGAACTCTAGCCTACTAGGTTCATAGTTGGGTTTTTTTGTTTTTTTTTTTTAAAGAAGATGTTGGGGGTAGGAGTTTATTAATTAATTAATTTATTTTTTCTGTGTTGGGTCTCCGTTTCTGTGCGAGGGCTTTCTCTAGTTGTGGCAAGCGGGGGCCACTCTTCATCGCGGCGCACGGGCCTCTCACTATCGCGGCCTCTCTTGTTGCGGAGCACAGGCTCCAGACGCACAGGCTCAGTAGTGGCTCACGGGCCTAGTTGCTCTGCAGCATGTGGGATCCTCCCACACCAGGGCTCGAACCCGCGTCCCCTGCATTAGCAGGCAGATCCTCAACCACTGCGCCACCAGGGAAGCCCCAGGTTCATAGTTTTAATGGGCCGTTGAGGTCAAGAGAGAGCTAGACTCTCATCTAACTTATTTGTGTGATTTGAAAACATCATAAAATCAAGTAAGAATTCTAAAAAGTCCCATTTTAAAAAATTTGCAGTACTTTTCATTAACACAGTCTTCTGCGCCGCCCCACATGCATGCCTTCTCTCTCTCCCCTACTTCCATCATATAACCAACTGATGTGGCTTCTACTCACACAGTGAAATCGAATTGAATTCTTACCCTAATCAGATAAATCAACCCAGTGCAATGGCTGGCCTTTGTTTGGATCTAGCTTGAAGCCCACCACTGTCAAAAAGGTTAATTCTGAGACAATCAGAAGAAATTTAAAATAGTCTGGGTACCAGATGATATGAAGGAAGTCTTGTTAATTTTGTTGGGTGTCATAATGGTTTAATGGCTATGTTTAAAAAAAGTCCTGATCACTTGGATGTATATTGTAGTATTTATAGATAAAATTAAGAGAGATCTCAGCTTTGTTTTAAAATATTCTAGCAAAGCAAAAATTTTTTTAATGGGGACGGGGGAGGGGATGAAACAGGCATGGCAGAATGTTGATAAGTGTTGTGTCTGTAGCGGTTTCTTATACATTTCTCTCTGGTTTTGTGCATGCTTGAAATTTCTTTAACAAGAGAGCTGACAACTCCTTGGTTTTTAGATGGTTTGCTTCAAAGTCTACCATTAGTGTTATATGGTGGGACTCCAGGGCCCTCTTCAGTCTCTTGAAATACTACAGAAAATGTGTTTGTGTATCTGTGTAATACTTTTTTTTTTTCTTTTTCTGGGAAAGAGCTGTGAAGATGTGTGATGCAAAAGGCTTAGGGGATCGCTGCTTTGAGAGAGACTGAATAATCTTCAGCAGGCGGCAGCAGAGGGCCCAGCATGGACAGGAAAGGAGCTAGCCTTCCTCTGCTCACTGTCTGAGATTCAGAGCTGCCAGCAAGGAACACATGCAGCCTTGTTTCAGAGACAGCTGAAAAGCCAACCTGTAGACAGACCTGGTGAATGTGTTCTTTTGCCCGATTTATCCTAGCTAAGCTGACTTTGCGACAGGGGAGCTAAGAAGCAGGCTTTTGGCCCTGCAAATGGTTTGCTTTGTGGAACCAGAATTCATTCATTTAGCTGCAGAAGATTATCAAGGGCAGTGTTTTAGGTGCCGGTGCTTTAGCAAAGAGCAAAACATAAAAATTCCTGCCCACGAAGCTAGTGCTACCCCATCTCTACATTTCTGGAATTTAGAGCTACATCTTCCTGCCTTGGCTTTCTGTATTATAGTAGAGGTCCCGCTTGAGCCTAATTTGGAATTCAAGTATGGCTGAAGGGCTATAGGGTGGACACGCATGGCGAATGAGAGGAGTGACCCAAGGCACTAGACAGCCACACTTGATAAGTTTAACTCAGGAACACTTGGTCATCAGAAGAGAGAGCAAGTTCTGAGTCCCGCTCAGTGTCTGTACTGCTTTTGGTTTTCACCCTAAGTGCTGTGGGGAAATCAGAGGACAGGAAGGCTGTTTAAGTAAAAACAAAGGGAAGCTCGCCTAAAACTCTAGGCACTCCCTTACTGCTTTGGAAAATCTAACCACATGTAACACCAAAGAGGATGGTCTCTTCCGATTTCCTTCCACTTTCCAGAACGCTCTGCAATGTTGTCGTATTGAGGCCTTCCCATGTCAAGCCGTAGAAGAGAGGGACAGTTGGAGGGAGATGGTGGTATTGACTGATCGCTGGCTGGAAACTGTAGGGTCCAGAGAGAAGAGGTGGAGCCGTGAGGGGGAGGGGCAGTGGGACAGGGTTCGCTCCTGAACACATGGGTCACCGTTTAGGGACTCCCACAGACACTTGGGCAGGAGAGGTTTTGCAGAAGTCTTGATGATTAGATGCGGGCATTATTCAGAGGAACTTATGTCCCATGGCAGAAATGTCTGTATAGTGACAGTAATTCTGAGCTTTCTTCTACATTTTCCCTTGACATTTTTCTTTTTCGTGTAATTGGGTGCTGAAACCCATTTGTTCTGATAAGCTGGTGAGGCCTGGAGAACCTTGGGTTACACTACGTAGCAGAAACCTGTAGAAAATTCCATTTATGTGAACCATAGTCTTTTGATCTTCCATATTTTTCCCAGGCAGTAAATTAGCATTTATTGAGGCAACTTCCCAATCAGAATTTGTGTCAATAGAGCAGAAGCCCAGTAGCTCACTGCCAGCATGACAGGAGGTGCCAAGTTCTATTACTGTGCCTAGAGTTTTCTACCATTAGTCCTTTCATTCAGTCCTTTGGGTCTTGAATTACTTTTTCATTTTGGCCTTCTATTTAAAATAGAGAATAACTAGAAAATCTGATATCTTAAGCAATTATAAGCAAAACCTCGTAAGGGAAAGTTTGACTATGAGAACAAGGCCTAGCTGGGAGAGCACATGGTCTAGGAGAGTAGTATAAGAGCAAGGGGGCACTGGCAGGCAGTAGGAGCTTACCAAAGACACACTTACTTGGTTTCTAGCCACACAGAAAAATGGTCCAGGTCAACTTTTGAGATAAACTGGTATCTTTCTCCTATTTTCAACCCTGGCACAATCTGAATTAATCATTTGGTCTCAAAAGGGAAATATGAAAAAAATGCTCAGGGAAAAAAATCCCCTTCAACAAGTTTCAAAATTATAAAAGGGAAAATACAGTGTTGTGGAATTCAGAACTGAAAGAGATTTTGAAATTTTTCTAGTCTTAGTCACCTGATTCTAAAGCTAGGTAAACTGAGGCTCAAGAAGATGAAGTGACTTGTATGCACTCGCACTGTGGGTTAGTAGAAGAGGCTGTGCTGTCGTGCTGGGATATCTCTGGGACACAGAGTCCGTTCTCACACTGCCGTTTGGCACGTAGTGGGCTTTATGTAGAAGTCTAAAAGCTCAGGCTTCCTGCAGAATGTAAGCACTCCTGCGATGGGCAAGTGACAATTGACAGTCCAAAAAGGAGAAGAAAAGTCAACACTATCATGGCTGAGCATGGCACTGAAGCATGGGAGAAGTTGCTACATCTATTCTAGGCAGCAAAAACAGAGAAAGCTAGGCAGCTAATCTAGGCACCTCAGTAAATTGTTGCAGGAAATATACAATCATTCATTCATCTGACTACTACTGAGTGCCAGTAAAAATGCAAGATGCAAACTATGCCACATGCTGAGGCTACGGAGATGAACAATATTGAATACCAGCTCTCGTGCTGTGCACAGACTTGATAAATGCTAAAAAGGTATTTGATAAAATTGAATACCCACTTTGGATTTACACTGACACTTCGTTAACTAACACTAGAAGGAAGAAACACATTGTAAGATTAATAGTGATTGTCTTAGGAATATAAACGATGTTTCAAATTCTGTTTTAATTTTTACTATATTTTCTAGTATTTTGTAAATGCTTTACAATGAGGATATTTTGTTTTATGTTCAGAGATTTAAATTAGATATCTAGAATTTTTTGTCTTGAAAGGAAAAATACATTACTCTTATCACAGATCTCCCCCACTCCCGCTTTCTCCCCTTTCCTCCACTCCCACATCATTAAGTTTTATATTCAGGACTAGTTATATTTTCCACAGCAGGAATGCCACTGCTGGTCTGTAATATAACTATGTTGACAGACATAAAGAACTGGCTTTTTCTATGCAGACAATATCCTTGAATGTTTGGTCTATTCTTGCTTTTAAGTGATGTACGGGAAAGAACTTGAGGGTTTTAGCTCTGTACTTTGCTTTCTTTTTTTTTCAGTCAAAAATTATTACTTTAGTTCCAATATTATTATATTATTTTAGTTCCAATATAAGATAATTTAGTTCCAATATTAATATATTATTTTAGTTCCAATATAAGATAACTTAGTTATCTTATAGATAGATATATCTATATATATAGATATATCTATATAGATAGGTATCTATATAGATATAGATAATTTAGTTCCAATATTAATATATTATTTTTATAGATATAGATATAGATATATAGATATAGATATATCTATATAGATATAAGTAGTTATCTATATAGATAATTTAGTTCCAATATTAATATATTATTTTTATAGATATAGATATATCTATATCTATATAGATAGTTATCTATATAGATATAGATAATTTAGTTCCAATATTAATATATTATTTTAGTTCCAATATAAGATAACTTAAAAATATTCAATATATATCTTGGACTTTTAGGGAATACTCATTTAGAAAAGAAGAATTTGAGGGAAAGCTATAAAAAAAATCACAACAATCGATAATAGTAGCTCATACTAAGTGCCATGAGCCAGACAGTATTCCACACATTTTTTATGCATTAGCTCATATTCTCAGGCTGAAAGTCCTGTGTGGTATGCACCATTATCCTATTTTACAGATGAGGAAGCTGAGGCTGAGAGTTGTTAAGCAGGTCTTGAGATATACTCAAGATTTAAACTCAGGCATTGTGGCTCCAGCATCCATGCCCCTAATCACTCTGCCACACTGCCTCTCACAACGGCAAAACAGGTGAGGAGAGTGTCTGGGTACAATCTGGAGACAGAAAACAGGCAGTCATTTAAACAAGGGATGTTTAACATAAAGAATTATTAAGCTATGCTAAACGAGTAACTATCAGATTTTTTTTAATAAAAACCTCTATACGGTACTCTAGGGCTGAGGGGGTTGAGGACAAACTTGGGATTGGGTCCCTTCCCTAAGGCTGGAGTTCAGAGCTCATTGGAAGAAGTATGGGTGCTGTCCACTGGATGGCAGGGAAATGTGTTGGTTTGCATGGCCAGATCTGTTCTGTGGTTGCTGGGCAAGCAGGAAGTAACCCTCTGGAACGTACGTGGGTGTGCAGCTATTGCTGGGCACGTGGAGATGCAAAGGTATGGGGCTGCTGGTACAGCAGAAGGTCTGGAGCACGTGGTGTCCGTGTTGGGAGGGCCATAAGCAGTTGATCACCAGGCCAGGCCTGGGCTGTGAGGGTATTAAAGGACCACGTGCATTCTGGGCACATGGCTGGGACAGAGCATCCCTGGACACCCTCACTCCCAAACACTGACCCCAGACGGCAGCCAGAAAGAACAGGAGTGCCCCTTTCTCCTTCAGTGTTCTTCCAGCACTCTGCACTGAGGAACCTCAACATTGTGCTTATGGTTGGGAGAAATGCCCAAAGGATTTCACATCCATTAGCACAGAGTATGTATGGAGACAAGAGGCAACACACAGATAAGGGGCACAGAGGGAGCTCTAAGTTGGTCATGCTGCTTTGTAATGGGCCTAATCCTGTTTTCCCAAGGACCTTTCACCTGGTGAGTAACCCAGACCTGGTGCTGGCAGTGTCTATGACCAAGGCTGGAGATGAAGTCTGTGGCTATCCGGTTATTGCTCAGGTAAGATATGTAGAGGCTAAAGAGTAATTATAGCCCTTTATTTAGTTAAATTTAAGGAAAGCTCCACGCTTCCTTGTTGTGGAGAAAGAAAATGGCTGTCATAGAAACCTATCTTGAATGCCATTGTTAAAATATTTACAATAGTCTGCCTAGATTTCAAATTGAACATGTTCCTGTAGCTCTGAATTTAGTTTAATCCAACAGATGGTGATTGTGGGCTTGCTGCATGTCAGGAGCTATGCTAGTTACTTAAATCAAATCCAATGGCAAGCATGAGAAATTATCCCAATAGCATTCATAGCGTCTCAGTGGTGGGTGCAGTCAGGTGAATGGCTGTTAGATGCGTGCATTTTAACTTCAGTGATTTGGAGACATAAGCAAGTCCCCTCTCACCTTGCAACGGGTGGGAAAGACCGTGGTCAGAGGAGTCTTTCTGGAGGGTGTGAGCTCTTCAATGCTAATTCTACTGAGACTCATTTGAAATATACTTTCAACATACTTTTGCAAATGCTTATAGCAGCCAAACAATTTTTGGAGACTCCAGAGAAGGCTGGCTTCATTTGAATTTTGGGTAAAGACCTATGGGGTTGGTTTTTTCTTTCCCACTTTTGTCTGTTATCCTTACTTACCAAAGACACTCCTAGACGGGTATATATTTTTCCTTGTTAGGAGGAGAAAAAGTTTAGGAGTGTCCCTGCTCTGCATTTACTTTCTGTATCCTCCACAGTATTTGCCATCTTTGTGTTGAACAGAATATACTGTCTCCAAATAACATTTGTTTTATTCCATATTTTAATAACAATGAGGCAACTTGTTTTGCAGGTCCTGAATCCAAAATTGGGATATAGCAATCTGGACAAATACCAAAGCTTAATTAAGCCTTCTATCCTGATGATAAATATGGACTAAAATTTTATTCTAGGAGACACAGTATATATAACATCAAATTTTTCCCTGTCAGGTGCCTCTTTGGCATGGACCACAGTGAGATAAAACCTTATGCAGATGCAAATTTTGTACCTTAATCTGTTACATAAAATTATAGATATGGATGTTTTCCCCTAAGGTTCCCATTTTATAAGAAATGAGTTTGATCCCAAAGTTATTTGTATTACCTTTCAAGAATTTTTTCTTTGCTTGGTGTTTCGTTTTTATTTCTTGAAGCAATCAGTTTGTGAGAATATATTAAAGTTCATGTAAAATAATAAAAATGAGACATGTTAAGTTAATGTTACTAAACCCCCTCCCTGTTCCTTGAAATATAATCTTTGTTTTCCATACCTCTGAGGGATGCTCTGTTGTTTGACTTATTAAATCAATTCCTGAGATCATTTATTTTCCTCTTCACTATCAATCTCTCCCTGGTAAAGTAGGTGTTATTCATTATAAAGTTCCTTGAGGTGTCATGATATGTTTAGTTGGAACTAATCTAGTGGTTTAAATTCCTTGAAATTGAAACTACTCATTTTTTTAACTTATGCTCAAACCAAGTTTTATAATTACAATAAAGATGCTGTTTCTAATATATAAAATGGAGTGTACTCACATTTTTGAAAAAAACCTTCTTGATAACCAGTGAAATGTAAATTAAAATATCAACAAGGTACTATTTTTCATTCATTAAATTGATGATGCTTTGGCAAGAATGTGAGGAAAAGAGGCAATTTCGTATAATATTGGTAGAATGGTAAACTAGAATAACCTTTCTAGAAAGCATTTGATATGATAAAGCTTTATATTATACATCACAATTTTTTTAATGATCCTGTTCCGGTTTTTTTTGAATTTTACTTTATTTTTTTTATACAGCAGGTCCTTATTAGTCATCAATTTTATCCACATCAGTGTACACATGTCAACCCAAATTGCCCAATTCATCACACCACCACCACCACCCCCACACTGCTTTCCCCCCTTGGTGTCCATACATTTGTTCTCTACATCTGTGTCTCTTATTTCTGCCCTGCAAACTGGTTCATCTGTACCATTTTTCTAGGTTCCACATATATGCATTAATATACGATATTTGTTTTTCTCTTTCTGAATTACTTCACTCTGTATGACAGTCGCTAGATCCATCCACATCTCAACAAATGACCCAACTTTGTTCCTTTTTATGGCTGAGTAATATTCCATTGTATATATGTACCACATCAGCTTTATCCATTCGTCTGTCGATGGGCATTTAGGTTGCTTCCATGACCTGGCTATTGTAAATAGTGCTGCAATGAACATTGGGGTGCATGTGTCTTTTTGAATTATGGTTTTCTCTGGGTATATGCCCAGTAGTGGGATTGCTGGATCACATGGTAATTCTATTGTTAGTTTTTTAAGGAACCTCCATACTGTTCTCCATAGTGGCTGTATCAATTTACATTCCCACCAACAGTGCAAGAGGGTTCCCTTTTCTCCACACCCTCTCCAGCATTTTTTGTTTGTAGATTTTCTCATGATGCCCATTCTCACTGGTGTGAGGTGATGCCTCATTGTAGTTTTGATTTGCATTTCTCTGATAATTAGGGATGTTGAGCAGCTTTTCATGTGCTTCTTGGCCATCTGTGTGTCTTCTTTGGAGAAATGTCTATTTAGGTCTTCTGCCCATTTTTGGACTGGGTTGTTTTTTTCTCCCAATCTGAGGGTTGTCTTTTCGTCTTGTTTTTGGTTTCCTTTGCTGTGCAAAAGCTTTTAAGTTTTATTAGGTCCATTTGTTTATTTTTATTTTTACTTCCATTACTCTAGGAGGTGGATCAAAAAAGATCTTGCTGTGATTTCTCTCAAAGAATGTTCTTCCTATGTTTTAGCCAAAGAATGCTTTGGCTACTCGAGGTCTTTTGTGTCTCTATACAAATTTTAAGATGATTTGTTCTAGTTCCGTAAAAAATGCCATTGGTAATTTGATGGGGATTGCATTGAATCTGTAGATTGCTTTGGGTAGTATAGTCATTTTCACAATATTGATTCTTCCAATCCAAGAGCATGGTATATCTCTCCATCTGTTGGTATCATCTTTAATTTCTTTCATCAGTGTCTTATAGTTTTCTGCATACAGGTCTTTTGTCTCCCTAGGTAGGTTTATTCCTAGGTATTTTATTCTTTTTGTTGCAGTGGTAAATGGGAGTGTTTGCTTAATCTCTCTTTCAGATTTTTCATCATTAGTGTATAGGAATGAAAGAGATTCCTGTGCATTAATTTTGTATCCTGCAACTTTACCAAGATCATTGATTAGCTCTAGTAGTTTTCTGGTGGCATCTTTAGGGTTCTCTATGTATAGTATCATGTCATCTGCAAAGAGTGACAATTTTACTTCTTCTTTTCCAATTAATATTCCTTTTATAAATTTATTTATTTAGTTATTTTTCGCTGTGTTGGGTCTTCGTTGCTGCACACGGGTTTTCTCTAGTTGCGGCAAGCATGGGGTACTCTTGATTGCGGTGCGCGGGCTTCTCATTGCAGTGGCTTCTCTTGTTGCAGAGCACAGGCTCTAGGCATGCGGACTTCAGTAGTTATGGCGCACGGGCTTCAGTAGTTGTGGCACACAGGCCTAGTTGCTCCGTGGCATGTGGGATCTTCCCGGACCAGGGCTCGAACCCGGGTCCTCTGCATTGGCAGGCAGGTTCTTAACCACTGTGCCACCAGGGAAGTCCTGTATTCCTTTTATTTCTTTTTCTTATCTGATTGCCGTGGCTAGGGCTTCCAAAACCGTGTTGAATAATAGTGGTGTGAGTGGACATGCTTATCTTGTTCCTGATCTTAGAGGAAATGCTTTCAGTTTTTCATCATTGAGAATGATGTTTGCTGTGGGTTTGTCATATATGGCCTTTATTATGTTGATGTAGTTTCCCTCTATGCCCACTTTCTGGAGAGTTTTTTTCATAAATGGGTGTTGAATTTTGTCAAAAGCTTTTTCTGCATCTATTGAGATGATCATATGGTTTTTATTCTTCAATTCGTTAATATGGTTTATCACATTGATTGATTCGCATATATTGAAGAATACTTGCATCCCTGGGATAAATCCCACTTGATCATGGTGTATGATCCTTTTAATGTGTTGTTGGATTCTGTTTGCTAGTATTTTGTTGAGGATTTTTGCATCTATATTCATCAGTGATACTGGTCTGTGGTTTTCTTTTTTTGTGACATCTTTGTCTGGTTTTGGTATCAGGGTGATGGTGGCCTCATAGAATGTGTTTGGGAGTGTTCCTTCCTCTGCAATTTTTTGGAAGAGTTTGAGAAGGATACGTGTTAGCTCTTCTCTAAATGTTTGATAGAATTCATCTGTGAAGCCGTCTGGTCCTGGAGTTTTGTTTGTTGGAAGATTTTTAATCACAGTTTCAATTTCATTACTTGTGATTGGTCTGTTCATATTTTCTATTTCTTCCTCATTCAGTCTTAGAAGCTTATATCTTTCTAAGAATTTGTCCATTTCTTCCAGGTTGTCCATTTATTGGCAAAGAGTTGCTTGTAGTAGTCTCTTAGGATGCTTTGTATTTCTGCGGTGTCTGTTGTAACTTCTTTTTCATTTCTAATTTTATTGATTTGAGTCCTCTCCCTCTTTTCCTTGATGAGTCTGGCTAATGGTTCCTCAATTTTGTTTATCTTCTCAAAGAACCAGCTATTAGTGTTATTGATCATTGCTATTGTTTTCTTTGTTTCTATTTCATTTATTTCTGCTCTGTCTTTATGATTTCTTTCCTTGTGCTAACTTTGGGTTTTGTTTGTTCTTCTTTCTCTAGCTCCTTTAGATGTAAGGTTAGATTGTTTATTTGAGATTTTTCTTATTTCTTGAGGTAGGCTTGTATAGCTATAAACTTCCCTCTTAGAACTGCTTTTGCTGCATCCCATAGGTTTTGGATCATCATGTTTTCATTGTCATTTTTCTCTAGGTATTTTTTGATTTCCTCTTTGATTTCTTCAGTGATCTCTTGGTTATTTAGTAATGTAGTGTTTAGCCTCCATGTGTTTGTGTTTTTTACATTTTTTTTCCTTATAATTCATTTCTAATCTCATAGCATTGTGGTCAGAAAAGATGCTTGATAGGATTTCAATTTTCTTAAATTTACTGTGGCTTGATTTGTGACCCAAGATGTGATCTTTCCTGGAGAATGTTCTGTGCACACTTGAGAAGAAAGTGTAATCTGCTGTTTTTGGATGGAATGTCCTATAAATATCAGTTAAATCTATCTGGTCTATTGTGTCATTTAAAGCTTCTGTTTCCTTATTTATCTTCATTTTGGATGATCTGTCCAGTGGTGTAAGTGAGGTGTTAAAGTCCCCCAATATTACTGTGTTACTGTCGATTTCCTCTTTTATAGCTGTTAGCAGTTGCCTTATGTATTGAGGTGCTCCTATGTTGGGTGCATATATTTTTAAAATTGTTATATCTTCTTGGATTGATACCTTGATCATTATGTAGTGTCATTCCTTGTCTCTTGTAACACTCTTTATTTTAAAGTCTATTTTATTTGATTTGAGTATTGCTACTCCAGCTTTCTTTTGATTTCCGTTTGCATGGAATATCTTTTTCCATCCCCTCACTTTAGGTCTGAAGTGGGTCTCTTGTAGACAGCATATAGATGGGTCTTGTTTTTGTATCCATACAGCAAGCCTGTGTCTTTTGGTTGGAGCATTTAATACATTCACGTAAAAGATAACTATTGATATGTATGTTCCTATGACCATTTTCTTAATTATTTTTGGTTTATTTTTGTAGGTCCTTTTCTTCTCTTGTGTTTCCCACTTAGAGAAGTTCCTTTAGCATTTGTTGTAGGGCTGGTTTGGTGGTGCTGAATTCTCTAGCTTTTGCTTGTCTGTAAAGCTTTTGATTTCTCCATCGAATCTGAATGAGATAATTGCCAGGTAGAGTAATCTTGGTTGTACGTTCTTCCCTTTCATCACTTTAAGTATATCATGCCACTCCCTACTGGCTTGTAAAGTTTCTGCTGAGAAATCAGCTGTTAACCTTATGGGAGTTCCCTTGTATGTTATTTGTCATTTTTCCCTTGCTGCTTTCAATAATTTTTCTTTGTCTTTAATTTTTTGCCAGTTTGATTACTATGTATCTCGGCATGTTTCTCTTTGGGTTTATCCTGTATGGGACTCTCTGTGCTTCCTGGACTTGGGTGGCTATTTCCTTTCCCATGTTAGGGAAGTTTTCAACTATAATCTCTTCAGATATTTTCTCGGGTCCTTTCTCTCTCTGTTCTCCTTCTGGGACCCCTATAATGCGAATGTTGTTGTGTTTAATGTTGTCCCAGAGGTCTCTTTGGCTGTCTTCATTTCTTTTCATTCTTTTTTCTTTATTCTGTTCCACAGCAGTGAATTCCACCATTCTGTCTTCCAGGTCACTTATCCGTTCTTCTGCCTCAGTTATTCTGCTTTTGATCCCTTCTAGTATAGTTTTCATTTCAGTTATTGTATTGTTCATCTCTGTTTGTTCTTTAATTCTTCTAGGTCTTTGTTAAACATTTCTTGCATTTTCTTGATCTTTGCCTCCATTGTTTTTCCGAGGTCCTGAATCATCTTCACTATCATTATTCTGAGTTCTTTCTCTGGAAGGTTGCCTATCTCCACTTCATTTAGTTGTTTTTCTGGGGTTTTATCTTGTTCCTTCATCTGGTACATAGCCCTCTGCCTTTTCATCTTATCCATCTTTCTGTGAATGTGGTTTTCATTCCACAGGCTGCAGGATTGTAGTTCCTCTTGCTCCTGCTGTCTGCCCTCTGGTGGATGAGGCTATCTAAGAGGCTTGTGCAAGTTTCCTGATGGGAGGGCGATCCTGTTCCTTTATTAGCAATTCTACTTGAGTTTGTTCTCAAGAAGTTATGGATTTATACAAACATTTATTTTATGATTGTTGATTGCCCTTTTGCTTATACTAAGGAAAACCTGAGAAACAATCTACATGTTTAACTATTGGATATTGGTAAATTAAAATAACCTAAGATCAAATAGTATATATCCTTTAAAAAAAAAAAAAAGCAAAACTAACACCATTACCAAATTGTGTGCATTTTGTGATTACATTTTTGTAAATCCAAGAATTCATATATATATGTATAATCATCAAATATCAATAGTAGTTATCACTACATAGTAGAGTTTTGAGTAATTATCTGTACTTTCTGACTTTATGCAATGAAAACTAGGACTGCTATAAACAAATCATAACCTCTCCTATTTGACTCCATATTTTGTCACATTTTTTTCAGAAATACAAACCACATAACAATGGGACTTCTAATCAAAAGTGGAATTACATGACAAATATGAAAGCTTTTATGGCCTTTCATAGCACTACACTGGATAAGGAAGTCACAGCAGCAAATTATGCTGGTATTTGTACATCCTCTGTGATTAAAGAGAAACACATTGATCAACCAGTAAGTGATTCCTTCCTTCTGAGAACAAAAAAGAGGGGTGGGGGAATGGATAAGTCTAATAAAGCAAGAAACTTTTTTCCAGAAAACCTGAAGTTCACACAAATTAAACACTGACTTGTGAGTGAAATCACTTAGACTCTGTGATTCTGGTTAGGAAAGAATGAAGGAATATTGATATTACCCTCTTCTTATATTGTTCTGATGGCTCCCTATCACCATCACCATCTCTGGCTCATCATCAGCTCACCAGAACAGGCATGAAGCAGGATAATCACACATACGTCACTCCCACAGGTGTGCTGGCCACACTCGATGTCACTCCACTCCAGAAAGCATATTAAAATGCCAATGATTGTAAGTTGCTTTATATTACATTATACCAAGCATAGGGCTAAGTATGATATACTCTAATTTTAAAAGAAATAAGTTCTCAAGTTTGGTCCTTTAATTTTTATTAGTAAGGAATTATTTGCACCATACTTTACAGATACCCGAGATATTTGTGGGTCAGTGGATCAAGGCACCTTGCTATTGTTGATAACCGTTGGCCTACAGAAAACTGAAATCTCATAATGTATGCACATTACAAGACTGCCCAAGACCCTCTTTACTGTTCCCCTCAGTCGTCTCTAAACCACTGCTGCTTCTTCACTCGTCATTCCCTGGCTCTACTGAATAAGAGATGTCAAATGTACCATACCATTCTGCCTGTCTCTGGTTTCAACTATGCTCTCCCCGACTTTTTCTCCTTTGTCTGTGATCTCATACCTGTTAGACAATATGCTGCCAAAGACTGCTGAAGTCATCTTAAAAAGAATCGAGTCAACTTGAAAAGGCTCCAAAGATGAGACAATTTAAGCATCAATATGACTATTGAATGCAGTGGATTGACATACATTAGATATGTTTAAATCCATATGTTCATAGAGATATTAAACAACAGCAACAACAACAGCTCAATTTGTCACAATTAGATGATGCTAAGGAACAAATTTGCTACTTTGAAAACCAGTAAATAAAGAATCAAGCATTAATTTTTCCCTTCCTTTATGAACCGTACCTCAAGATAACAAGACAGTTGACAAGAAGAAACTTCACTTCGTAGAAATACCCCAGCTAATACATGAGTAAAGTATGAGGAAATCAGAATATCATTATACTGTGAACTTTCATAAATTAATGGATCTAGGCAATGATCATCAGTAGCTACTAACATAACAAAAAGAGACAAAAGAGTTGCTCCTTGATAGAAATACACTGTACCATTTATGATGGGGTCTTGCCCCCCCAAATCTAACTGGAGAAAATGTACAATGAATAATTACAACAAAAGAAAACAGAAAAAGAAATAAGGAATGTGAAGATTCGGAGAGACTTAGAGGTATTTAAACTAATTATAAGGTATTGGCCTTATTGTGATTCTCTTTCAAATAAATTGTAAGGGAGTGAGAGAATTGTAGAAATTTGAATACTGACTGAATATTTGATTATATTAGGGTATTATTAATTTTAGGTATGATGTTATAGTTATGATAAAAGAGTTCTTATTTGAAATTTGGGAAGGATAAAATTTCCCAATTTTCAACAATATTTCTTCTAAAAGATTATAACTTTCCTTTCCTACTAGTTAAATGATAACCTATCTGATAGAAATTAATATGGTTAATCTGAAGAGTACAATAATATATCAATTCTAAGATTCACAAATTTAAAAAAATGCTTATCTCTCTTGGACCTGGGAAAACCAACTCTCTACACAAAGGCTCTAAATCAGTAATTAATTCTTAACCTTTTCAGAGATGCAGACCTCGTTGAGAGTCTCGTGAAAATTATGGATATTCTTTCCCCCCAAAATGCACATGTGTACACAGCACTTTTTGTATAAAATTTTAGGGAGTTTGTAGACTCCCCTTGAAATCCAATTTGGACATAGGGTAAGAACTTCTTCTCTAGGCCACATTTGCTTGGCAAGCTTAGAAAAGAAAACTAATACGAAATAACCATTATATGCTAGAAAGCTACTGTATGTTAGATACTGATGCAGTATTAGTTATTTTTACATAGATTATCTTATAATAAATAATATAACATAAATAATAAATATAAACAGTATCAATAATTCATTAAATTAAGATTGATGAAGCAACTGAATAATTTATTCACAGTCACATTAGCTATTATATATACAGTAAGCGTCATTGTTGATCAAACAAACTCCATGTTATAGACCATATTTCTATAAGGTCAAATGAACAGAGCAAGTTAGTCATTTCAATAAATCAAGGAAATTTTATAGAGGAAAATAATCAGTCAAACCAATTGCTTGGTATTCTGTGTATAGAGCCAGCAGCTGACTTGCTGAACTTTTAAACTCTGTTTGCATTCTGTAGACATAGCCTAACCTAGGGAGCTACCCCAGTGTATTGCATTTTCCTTACCAGCAGCAGTTTAAATGTTGTGTTAAGGGTGAATGAATTAACCAAAAATTCAGTTTGCATTGTACACGTGTACCATTGCCAAAATAAAACAATTTGGGAACCATCAAAATAGTAGCACCACAGTCATAGGGATTGATGTCTTAATGAATGAAAATACATTTTCTAGATACTTTCATAGGCTTCTTTTTTTTTTTTTTTTTTTTGGTGGTACGCAGGCCTCTCACTGTTGTGGCCTCTCCCATTGCGGAGCACAGGCTCCGGACGCACAGGCTCAGCTGCCATGGCTCACGGGCCCAGCCGCTCCACGGCATGTGGGATCTTCCCAGACCGGAACACGAACCCGTGTCCCCTGCATCGGCAGACAGACTCTCAACCACTGCGCCACCAGGGAAGCCCTCAATAGGCTTCTTTAGTGTAATAAGAAATACCATTGGCACACGATTCATCATGAAGTCCGTGTTTTTCTGTACAAATTATTCTGTATGTAGTATTCATTCAATTCCATCTGAGAGGAGATGTTTTAATTTTCTGTCTCCCAGTAATTTTTAGGAAAATGGAAATCAGATGTGCATATAGAGAAATCCATAGTGGAACTTAAGAATTACATCTTCAAAAGTATCATCTAAATGTTGGCTTTGAATTGAGGTAGCTTTAAGTATTTAAATGGAATAGTTGAAGAAATATGACAAAGGCAAAAAAACAAGAACTTGGAATCAGAAGTCACAGCTTTGTACTTCAGCTCTGCCACATACTACTTGGATATCCTTGGATTAAAAACTTCCCTCTCTTAGTTTTTGTTTTCTCATCTGTAAATTGAGAATGATGATATTAACTCTGGCTGTACTTAACTTTTAGCCTTGTGAGGAACAAAGCAAATCAGAGTCTATATACAAGTGCTTTAAAATGTTCATGCATATTCAAGAGTACAGAGACTAGTTCAGTGAATTCTCATATACCTATCATCCAAATTCAACTATTATCAAGGTTTGGCAATATTTACAAATCCTAGACATGATACAATTTCACCTCAAACTTAAGCATGCACCTGTAAAAATTTGACCATTTTCTTACATTACCATTATGCCATTATCACCTAATAAAATTAACAGTAATTTTTGGCCATCTACTACCCTGTTCATAATAAAATTTCCCAGGTTTCCTAAAAAATTCTTCTTATGGTTGGTTGGTTTGAGTCAGGATTCAAACAAGGTCCCTATGTGACACTGGTCGCAGAATCCATCCTATAGAATGCCTCTTGTTTGGATTTTTCTGTTTGCTTCCTATGGCATCCTTTAACCTGTTTCTCTGGCTCCCATAATGCCTATAAAAGAAATTTAGCACTGGAGTTTAATTATATTTATGTTCAGCATTTTTTGGACAAGAATCTTCATAGGTTTTACTGTGTATTTCATATTTATCACTTATGCAGGGATACAGTGTGGATTTTCCATGGGCTCAGGTGATTACAACCTAATCTCACATCAAAAAACAATTCCCAATGATTTTTCATTTAGTGTTGCCTTTTTTGTGATCTTTGCCTAAATCAATAATTTCATTAGAAGTTTCAAAAGGGTCAATTTTTAAAAGTTCTATTATGTTCCCTGACATATATTTGCTGAACTTTTAGTGTAAGGAAGAACTTTACCTCTTCAACTAGGTATTTGACTGCCCAGAAATATGGTTTGTAAAGGATGGTAGGATAAATGCTTAAATTGTTCTATCCAAATTATCTATTGTAGTAGAGCAAATCACCTGAAAATTTAGTGACTTAAGCCAACAACCATCTTTATGCTCTGAGTCAACAATTTGGGCTAGGCTGAACTGGGCAGTTCTGCTGGTCTTGCCCAGGGTCACTAATGTGGCTGTAGTTATCTGGTGGCACACCAGTAGTTTGGTGGTGCTATGGTGTCTGAATGGTCAAATCACATGTCTGGTGGGGGCGTTAGTTCTCCTCAAGGCTTCTTAAGTAGGCTAGCTCAAGTGAGCTCACATTATGGTCTCTGGCTTCCAAATGCAGCCAAAAAAGAACAAGCTGAAATGTGCAAGCACTTCTTATGCATCTGCTTGCATCACATTTGCTAATGCTACATTGGCCACAGCAAGTCACATGGTCTTGCCCAGATTCAAGGAAAGGAGGAAAGGAGCAAGAAACTCTTATTTCTTGATTGGAGGAGCAGCAAAATGACATTTCAAAAGGGCATGCAAACAAGAATGGGATGGTTTTACTATGGCCATCTTTGCAAATAATCTGCCACAATTTCTAATGGCCAGTTTCAGAGTTGTAAATTGGTACCAGTTTACTTCTAATGGACTCCAGTAAGTAGTGGTTTTGTTTTTGTTTGTTTGTTGGCTTTTTTGTTGCTTTTTTTACTTATATTTTTAACATGATTATGAACTCACGGGACTTTACCTATTCAAACACATTTGAAGTGTTTTGGTTATAATTTTATTTTACTCCCAAATTGTCCCACTTTGGGCCAGTGGAATGTCCTTCATGTTGGCGCCTGTGTCTTTTTTGACATAATGCCTTTACTTTTGAATGGATTCTTTTTTTCTGGGCACGCAAGAGATCCTTGCTTCTCTTGTGTATTTCTTGCCCCAAATCTGGAATTGGCCATTCCTCCAAGAAACTCTGATTCTGGATACAAGTTATACTCATTGATGTTGAATTGTCATTGCCTCTAGGCTTTTTCAGTCAACAACATTTGGAAATATTTTGCTCTATAATATAATAGTTATAATATAATTATAATATAATTATATTATATTATATTATATAATAATTAATAATTAGCAAAATAATGCATTCATGTTGAGATTTCAAATTTAGCATTTGGGGATCATAAAAGTGCTTTATTTGTATGGTAAAATATTCTACAAAAGTGCTATCATAATTTAGATGCAACCAAATAAAAGCATCTTTACCTCCATTTTCAGGGATACTATTATCTCTCACCCAGTGGAAAGAAAAAAACAATGCTCTGTTTGGCATGTGGGCAATCCATGAGAGCAGAGAAGAGACTGAAACAGTTGCTTCCAGGGCTGCCATTCCTCTGTGCCTCAGGCTCCGAGACCCAGAAGCCCTTCTCACAAGGACCTTTCAAGGTCATCGATGTGGCCAGAGTATGTAATGATCTGAGCTCTGCTAACACATGTGTGACATCAGTTTGGAAACTTTGATACATTCATTACTTGCCTTGCACTCAAGTTCATCTCCACTCATCCCATTCATCTTTCGTTGAGGCACCTTTACCATTCCACCTGCATTGATTTCCTTTTCCCCACTGTAACTTAAAGTACATTATCTGTTAATAGTTCGATATACTCTTTGAAGTTAATTGGGCTCTTCTGCAGCTTTAATCGTCTCCTGACACCTTGCACTACTCCCTGTGTTGCTTTTAGATGAGGAAGTAACTGCAAATCTTTACTCAGTGGAGTAGCTTTTTGCCTATATCCACAGGGTAAACTCCTTTTTTCCTAGTATTTTCAGGGCTAATTTGATCTGTTGTTGTTAATGACTCTTCATGTTGGGTGCCTGAATTCATGCATTCATGTCTAATACTATTTTTTTTAATAGCTCATGGAGAAAATAATCTCTGCTGCTTTCCTGTGATCTTAATTTAAAATGGCACCATTTAAAAAATCCTTTCCTTCAAGTTTAGAAGTGAGAAGAGCTAAGAGGAACTTACACAACTGTATAAAAAGGAGCAATTCCTTAGGGGTGGGAACCTTCCACCTGGTGTGCTCTTCAGGGCTTGCCGGTCTTATACCCAGGTCACTGTCCTCTCTCCCCTAAACCTGATACACATTGCAGAAGAGCAGGGTCGTAACGGTTGCAATAAACATCAACTGAAACAATCACTGAAGGAAAAGGGGAGTCAGTCCTCTGGGAAAGCCTGCAGGCATTTGGCTTTGCTTTGGTGACAGTAGGGTTGTGTTAAGGAGGTGGGGGTGAGCTGATCGGAAAGAATCCCCAGTGTTACAGCATCTTGGACACAACTTCTCCCTCAGGGCAGCTTCCTGAGTAGCCATGAAAAGGAAAAGGTGAAGTGTGGCGTTCACCACCCTCATTACCATGTGGTTAAGGCTTCACTCATTCCCTTCCTCATTCATCAATGTCTGGCACCATAGGATGGCATCATCCTAAAGTCAAAGAATAAGAGAATATCTTTACTACTAGCGTCCGTTACTTCAACCCCAGGCTCTCTCTGGCCCTGGCATCCTTCTTCCCCATCTCCTGTCCAGGGGAAGGCAAAGTAGAAAGCAGGAGGAGGCCAGAAACACAAGCCAGAGGCCCAAAGTCACCTAGAGACTCAGTGACAGGGCTGGGAAGAGAACTGAGGAGTTCGGACCCAATGTCCTTCCCACTACAGCACCTAATACTTTTAGCATATGAAGTGAACATTTCAAACTGTAGATGCCACACCCATGTGCACACACAAATCAAGGGGCTGAAGTATAACAAAATAATAAAACTAAAAGAAAAAAGTTTGAGTTCATCTATGTTGTTGTTCTTTTAAAAAAAAATCAGGCTGATTTATCTTCTTATGAGGCTGAAAACACTTTAAGTTATTATGAAGAACGTCTGTTATCTTTACGGATGAAGACCTGCACGCAAGTTGTATCTCATAGTGGCATGGCAGTTACTCACCAGAAGGCAGTGAAAATAATTGCGTACAAAAATGGAGATGGATATCGAAATGGGAAGTTAATTGTGGCTGGAACATTCCCCATGGTGAGTGGCTATCACTTAAATGCTTCTCGAATCATCAGAGGTAATGATAATGGTGATTTCTCTGACAAGAAAAAAAGCAGTGAGATTGAGTGACAAATATGCCTGGCCAGTTTTACCAATTTAAGCTGCTGAGATCAAGATCTCTGTTTTCTTAAAGATGTTATTTTTGATGGTATTTCTTCGGATATAGACTTAGAAAAATGAGAAACAGAAAGCCTTTTTTGCCTTCCTTCCCCTTCCAGCTTCAAGTTGTATGTCAGCTCAGTATCCTAAGGGATGCCACCTCCTTTATCATCTGGAGAATCGGAGCACTAATTTGTTGATAGGGGGTTTCATTTCATTTTCAAATTGGAGAGGCAGGAGTTGTGCTAGGAGGGAACATGTGATTTCTGTCTTAGAGGCTGCTCCCCACAGCCATGGGAAGGGAGGAGAGTCCCCAGGACCCAAACCCAGCCTTGTCCTTCCATTGCATGATGGTTGTCTTGTGTCTGTACATTCTGGCCAATACCTTTAACAACATATTTTACAAGCAATGTTAAATATGATATGGAGTTACCCTGGAGACTTCCTTGCAAATACACACACACATAATCATTCACTCACCCCTCTGAGTACGAACAGATTTTTTATTAAGATATTGTTGTTCAATGGACTAAGCAAAGGACAAAAGTTAGCAACTCCAGAATTCACCCTGGGACCCTGGCTTTTGTGGTCTTGGGCAAAAATATTAACCTTTCAGCCTGATTTCCCATCTGCCAAATGGAAGTAATAATGTGTCAGTTCTTGGTTTGAAAGTCAAGTATTCATTTATTTTAAAGCAGTTCATCTGAAGTGTTAGAATAATTTTATTCATTCTTAAGCACACAATTGAAAGTGGATTTCTAGGTTTACACTTCTTAGGAAATAAATACTCTGATGATAAAATGTATTAACATACAATAGCTGCTGTGTTAAATTTTTGGAGCTAAGAATTTTCACAGATGGATTGGACTAATTTGTGAGATTATGTAGGACAATCCAATATCAAAAATCATCTCTAATCAAAGATCAAGTTGGTAGCTGTTGCTTTCTGTTTTCTCAAATTAAAGGATTTTCTCAGAGTTCTAAATTAACACGCTCATCATGATTATTCTCAGTTCTACCACCATTTCTTCTCAGTTCCTTATAGTCTGTGTTTTTTAGCTGCTTGCAGAATGCACGGAACAACTTGGTCTTGCCAGAGCAGCCTCCAAAGTATATACCAAAGATGGAACCACAATCCTTTCCTTGTGGGATTTGGTTTTATGGGCTCTTGATAAATCTTTTATCCAGAGAGACTCTGAGGGACAAAAGGAAGAGGCAGCCCCTGTTGGAACAAAAGAGACACCTGTTAAAAGTATGGAAGGTTGGTTACATTCTACAGGATTTAGCTGATTCTACTTATGTTTGATCTTATGAAAGTTAAATGTAATTCTTTCATTCAGTCACCCCTTCGAGAGTTAAAAAAAATCACAGGAAGCTACTCATATGAAATTCTCATAATGTTTTTACCTTGCAGAATAATAAGAAAAAAAATTTTTAATGTAAATTTGATTTCGGCCCCAAAACAATAAACAAATTGCCTAGAATTTATAAAACATGTTTGACAGTTTAGCTACTTTATGCAACATGAGCAGGTTCTGTTCTTAAATTCAGAACCAAAACCAACTGGAGACCGCTTAAGAAAGTGGGACTAGATCAATGCAAATCTCTTCCTACTATTAGAAGAGAAGGTGTCCTCTCTACACCTCCTGTCCTCCAACTCCCCTCCCCCGTCTCCACTGCTCCTATGAACTCCCAGAAGCTACAGCAAATGCACCCCTATCACAGCTCCTAGCACATTGTGTTATAATTATCTGTCTACATCTTTGTGCGTTTCATTAGACTAGGTACAACTTGAAGGCAGGGCCTGTGCCCCCAACAACAATTTGGTAAATGAAAAAGAGTCTTGCTAGCAGTGATTCGGCAGTTGTCTCAGGTTTCCATTGTTGTGTTGAGAGGCATGGTTTAGAGGTTAAGAATGTGGATTTTGGAGCTGAAAATACCAGGGTTCAGCTCCTACCTGTCACTTGTTAGATGAATGATCGTGGGTACTCTCTGTACCTCAGTTCCCTCATTTGTAAAATGAGGACACTAACAGTCACATGAATATATACTAGTTCAGTCTTCATAAATATGAATGTGTATTCATAAGAATATATATGCATATGAATATATATCACTTAGATTCATGCCTGGTTGATACTTAGCAATTTAATAATATTAGTTATCATTATTGTGTGTAGGATTAAGGAGGAAAAACCCACTCCTTCCTGTGTGTCTCTCCTTCATTCTCATACTAGTATCCCATTCCCAATGCTTCTGACACCAGACCTGTGGGGTTTTTTCCCACACCAACTCCCACACCATCTAGCTGGATGTCCTACAATTTAACTCAATTCTGACACTACCTACCTGGAGATAAGGTCAGATCCCACAGGTTAAGGGCCCAGTCTCACAACACTGCTTCCCACTCACCCCATTTCAGAGGTCCAGACCTGTGCTTCTGACTGAGTGGCTATAAATTGGCTCCCTCCTCAGGTTCAATTAATTTGCTAGAGCAGCTCACAGAACTCAAGAAAACTGTTTACTTACTGTTTACCCATTTATTATAAAAGGATATGGTAAAGGATACAGATGAAAATCCAGATGAAAGAGAAGCATAGGGTAAGGTACGTGGGAAAGGGCATGAAGATTCTGTGTTTCCTCTGACATTCCACTCTCCCAGCATCTCCATGTGTTCACCAAACCAGCTTTCTGAACCGTGTACTTTTGGGATTTTTATGGGGACTTCATCATGTAGGCATGATTGATCATCAACTCCATTTCTAGTCCCTCTCTGGAGAATGGGGAGTAGGGTTGAAAATTCCAAGTTTCTGATCATGGCTTGGACTTTCTGGTGACCAGCCCCCATCCAGGAGCCCACCAAGATTCATCTCATTAGAACAAAAGACACTGCTAGCACCCAGGAAATTCCAAAGAATTTAGGAGCTCTGTGTCAGGAACTGGGGGCAGAGACCAATATTTTTTTCTATTATTTTATAATGATATTATTTGTTTGGTTTTCTAATGAGTTTTAAAAAATAATTATGTGAATATTTAATGCCTAGCTGATCACTAAAGCATATAGTTCTGCCTTTATTTGGCATGTGGAATATCTGATCTCCACGTTCTGGAAGATTTAAAATTTCAAACATTCTTCTTTCAAATTCTTATTTAAAACCTGCTTGGAGGTAATGTTATTCATGCAGGTCTACCAAGAGGGTATGGCCATCCCTTCCCCTCATATTCTAAAGGTTATCCTTGAATCAGGCAGGGGCATTAGCTGGCTGTCCCCTTTACTGAATCATGACTTGGAGTTATGACATCGGTTTGCATTGAGGAAATTAAAAGAAACAGGCTTCAATCTAAAACTCAGTGTCGTGCTTACTATAAAGGCGGTGGTTAAAGGCACTGGCTCTGGAAGCAGATGGCCTTGATTCTAATTCTGGCTCTGCCCCCGCCTGGCTATGTGACTAAATCTCAGTTACGTACAAAAGAGGAGTGGACCTACCTCAGAGTATCATTTTGAGAATTATATGCGATAATGTATATAGAGGTCTTAGTAAAATGCCCAGCACATAGTAAGTTCTCAATATGTATTAATTATATATTAGGATACTGTTTGCTGTATCACAAATAACCCCTTTATGAAGACCCTGAAATAAATTTCTCTAAGATCTCAGGACCAGGAGAGTTGTATCTTGAGGAATTTATCTCTCTCTGTCAGCCATGTGTATCTTGAAATGGTGTTTTCCTCTTTGCTGTAGCCACAAGGATTCTCAGTGCCCAAATAGTGCTTTATCTCCAGCAAATAAAAACAGTGTGGTATTCATGTCTAGTATCATAATGATGATAAATATATTATCTAGCATTTTTTGGATGCTTGCACAATTAACTAGACCAAATATTATTCTAAACACTTTCCTTTTTATAATCATCCCAACAGCAGAATGAGATAGATACTATTAATCATTTAATTGATGAGTTCTCTGAAGCACCTTATCTCTGGCTTTGGTCTATTCCTATACTCCTTTCTCCCCTTCCTTGCTTTTTTTTCTCTTTATTTTATCCCTTTTCAGAGTAGATATTTTGGTAAGCTACCTCATATTTTTTTCATAACTAGATAAAGTGTAAGAAAGGAATTAAAATATGTATTTACGATAAGATTTGTTTAAATTATTTAGTTGCATATGAAGTTTCTGATCAAATTTATGTATTTGCGTCTGGTTTGGGCATTAACCTGTTTAAATCAAGTCATTAATGAAGAATAAAATATTTTGAATAAACAAGTGAATTCAGCAAGCAAATTTATTCATTATTCATTGAACAATAGTATATGTGTCATTTGTTTCCCAGGAACAACAAGAATGAAAGTGAAAACCAAATTATTTCCAAAGTCTGTGACATCTGATAGTTTGGATGATATAGATAAGTCTTTGCTCACCCTCATCCTCAGAAATCCTATTGCCATCTGGGTATCTTGCGGTGAACCATTTCTAAGTCCGAATGGTAAGTGTTTTGTTTTTGCTTTCTTTCAAGCAAGTGCATAAAGAGAGAGAGAAATAAATTTTTTGTCACCATAAGAAAATCAGTTAAATGTGTATAATGTCAACATAATAACATCACATTTATGCAAAGAACGGGAGGTTCATCAATTAACATGGGCACAAGGATAGCTATACTCCTATATTTGCACAATTGCCTGTTTTTTTCTTACTGGGATGGAGTATTCTGCATGGAAAGTGTCTAATTTCATTGATAAAGAGATCCTTGGTCTATAAGACTGAGAATAATGATATACATTAGAAAATAACAAATGAGTTTAATTCACACTGAAGACGACCTGTCTGCACATTTTCATTTTTAAGAATTGCACCCTTTAGGCAGTAGGTGGATGTTTAAAAAAATGGATGGTTCCAAGGAAGACTTTCATCACCTCCAAATAGTTTGTGGAAATAGAAAATGAAATATGGCTATTACATATGGTAAATCTATATAATAAAACAGCACTGTTCTTCTTTTTTCCCCCTCCATTCCATAAAGAAATGCCTTAAGCCCTGTCATCTTTCAAATGAAGTTTCTTTTAATGACCCTTACCTTTTAATTACTTGTTTCTAATTGAATTTGTTTCTTGGAGCAGAAAGTTCTTTATAAATTATTGGCTTGCATGATAAATTACTGTTGATAAGAAGAATGCAAGATAAAATATCATGTAGTTTTTTAATTCTAGCTTTGAAGAAAGCAGAAAAAATAAAAAAAAAGAACTGGCTAAAAAAGGACAAAATTTTGGCTGATCTAGACACTATGAAACACAAACTGAGACAGTTAAAAGGTCAGTATGAACTAAATCAAGTATCACCATGTTTAATTCTAAACCTTTAATTCTTAACCTTAATTTGCTGGTAGTTTTTTTTTTGACCTTTAGATACCTGATGTTTAACTGAATATTATATATTGTGTTACAAAAGTCACTTGAGCAAGTCTAAAACCTATTAATATATCTTTTCAGTACTGATTTTGTATTTGTAAATTTTATATTAAAATGATATCACACGATTTATATATACATTTTTAAAATTTGGAGGATGTGTGGATCATATAACCACCCTATTGGTTTTGAAACAATTCCTGAAATGACATTTTATGGACTTTGGAATTAGTCATTAAACAAAACTTTCTGTTATTTCTTAGGTATTGCTTGGGAAGAAGTTTTGTTAAATAATCTGAGTGAGGAAGTACTAAATTCTTCAAAGATTAGTGTCTTTATCACAGAAGGGAGGTTATCTCGTTATGCGGCATAAGATATGTTATTCATAGACAAAGTGATTGACTGACAATATTTGTCCTCTTCTTCCATTCTCTTTGTCACAGAATCTTAAGTTCCTGATCTTATATTATTCCCAGCACTTCAGACACCAAATGATTCTTTGGGGAATAAGTATGTTATGGACTTTAGTCTGGGAAGGAATACATTTCAGGCTCTGTAACTGCCATAGCAGGATTTCAGCTCCTGAGTATCTGTACCGTCTGGTGTCAGAAACATGTGAATCTTACTTCAATAAATAAGACAATTAGTCCTAAGTGCACTAGACAGCACTCTGGGTTGAAATGGCTGTTTTTTCAGTTTTTACCAAAAGAATTATTGGGTCTAACTGAAAAGCATCTATTACTATTGCTAACCTCTACTACTCCAACTACTTGACACTTGCACTTGAATGTCCCATAGGCATGTCCAAAACTGAAGTTAACACGTCACCATATAGTGACCATACCACCATTTCATTTCATATCTTACCACACCAATGCCTCCTTCCTTTCTTCTGTGGGCATTACCACAACCAGGTGTTCCATCTCAAGGAGCTGGGAGTCATCCTTGGCATCTCCCACTCTCGCTATCTCTAAGCAAATATCAGTAAGTCTTGTTGCTTTGAATCTGTTTTTCAAATGAATTCTAAGGATCTTGATTCCTACTGTCATTATCCAAGTTCAAGCTATCGTCATCTATTCTTTGGGTTACTGGGTCAGCTTTCTGTTCAGTTCCCTCTGCCTCAAACTTTTCTCTCTCCTGTTCTCTTGGATTGCTTCTCATTATTTACTTTTCAGCTTACTCGTTATTTCTCCTAAAAGTCTTCACTAACATTCTAAGTCAGGAACAGTGTGGTTTGTCATAGCCTTAACTTCCCCCAATAGCCCTTATCACTTTATTATACATACCTGATCATATGACTGTCTCTCCTATGTTACATTATAAATTCTATACCCTTCTAATTTGTTCTCTGAATAGTTGTAGAATTATTTAATTAAAGAATAAATGGGATTTCAACCATCCACTCCAATGAGCTTTCTAAGCTCTATTTCTTTATCAAATTAAATCAATAGAAAGTAACATATTAAAAATAGCACCCGAGGGCTTCCCTGGTGGCGCAGTGGTTGAGAGTCCGCCTGCCGATGCAGGAGACAAGGGTTTGTGCCCCGGTCCGGGAGGATCCCACATGCCGCGGAGACGGCTGGGCCCGTGAGCCATGGCCGCTGAGCCTGCGAGTCCGGAGCCTGTGCCCTGCAACGGGAGAGGCCACAACAGTGAGAGGCTTGCGTACGGGGTAGGGGGGGAACCAAAAAAAAAAAAAAAAATTCTTTAAAAAAAAAAAAAATAGCACCCGGCAGAGCTGCTTTTACTGAATTCTGATTTTATATCACGTCTTTAGCTTTTATTATAATTAAGTATTAAAAAGGTATTTAAAGTTCAGTTGGCATCATCCACAATATCACTGTAGAAAACAGTCTTTTTCGTCAGATGGTGTCCATTATGGAGAAATCCATTAATGCAGTTTCTCTTAAAATTTAGTACTAAGATAAATCTTGTCTCTACTGCTAAACTGTTATGTTTTCTGCTATTAAATGTAAATTCATTGCTAAGTTATAAAATACCTACTGTGAGGATGGTCTTTTCTAGTTGCTGGGATTAGAAGGAGAAATAATAGCAAGTTTAAATTCAGTAAACTGCAGTCCCTGTTGGATTGTGAGCTTCTGTTTTTTTCCTTTTTTAAAAATTCAATCATTTTATCATTTTTTTAACATCTTTATTGGAGTATAATTGCTTTACAATGGTGTGTTAGTTCCTGCTGTATAACAAAGTGAATCAGCTACACGTATATATGTATCCCCATATCCCCTCCCTCTTGTGTCTCCCTCCCACCCTCCCTATCCCACCCCTCTAGGTGGTCACAAAGCACCGAGCTGATCTCCCTGTGCTATGCAGCTGCTTCCCACTAGCTATCTATTTTACGTTTGGTAATGTGTATATGTCCATGCCACTCTCTCACTTCGTCCCAGCTTACCCTTCCCCCTCCCCGTGTCCTCAAGTCCATTCTCTACGTCTGCGTCTTTATTCCTGTCCTGCCCCTAAGTTCTTCAGAACCTTTTTTTTAAGATTCCATATATATGTTTTAGCATACGGTATTTGTTTTTCTCTTTCTCATTTACTTCACTCTGTATGACAGACTCTAGGTCCATCCACTCACTACAGATAACTCATTTTCGTTTCTTTTTATGGCTGGGTAATATTCCATTGTATATATGTGCCACATCTTCTTTATCCATTCATCTGTCTATGGACACTTAGGTTGCTTCCATGTCCTGGCTATTGTAAATAGTGCTGCAATGAACATTGTAGTACATGACTCTTTTTGAATTATGGTTTTCTCAGGGTATATGCCAAGTAGTGGGATTACTGGGTTGTATGGTAATTCTCTTTTTAGTTTTTCTAAGGAACCTCCATACTGTTCTCCATAGTGGCTGTATCAATTTACATTCCCACCAACAGTGCAAGAGGGTTCCCTTTTCTCCACACCCTCTCCAGCATTTATTATTTGTAGATTTCTGATGATGGCCATTCTGACTGGTGTTAGGTGATACCTCATGGTAGCTTTGATTTGCATTTCTCTAATGATTAGTGATGTTGAGCATCCTTTCATGTGTTTGTTGGCAATCTGTATATCTTCTTTGGAGAAATGTCTATTTAGGTCTTCTACCCATTTTTGGATTGGGTTGTTTGTTTTTTTGATATTGAGCTGCATCAGCTGCTTGTAAATTTTGCAGATTAATCCTTTGTCAGTTGCTTCATTTGAAAATATTTTCTCCCATTCTGAGGGTGGTCTTTTCATCTTGTTTATGGTTTCCTTTGCTGTGCAAAAGCTTTGAAGTTTCATTAGGTCCCATTTGTTTATTTTTGTTTTTATTTCCATTTCTTTAGGACGTGGGTCAAAAAGGATCTTGCTGTGATTTATGTCATAGAGTGATCTTCCTATGTTTTCCTCTAAGAGACCTATAGTGTCTGGTCTTACATTTAGGTCTTTAATCCATTTTGAGTTTATTTTTGTGTATGGTGTTAGGAGTGTTCTAATTTCATTCTTTTACATGTAGCTGTCCAGTTTTCCCAGCACCACTTATTGAAGAGGCTGTCTTTTCTCCATTGTATATTCTTGCCTCCTTTATCAAACATAAGGTGACCATATGTGTGTGGGTTTATCTCTGGGCTTTCTATCCTGTTCCATTGATATATGTATTTCTGGTTTTGTGCCAGTACCATACTGTCTTGATTACTGTAGCTTTGTAGTATAGTCTGAACTCAGGGAGCCTGATTCCTCCAGCTCCATTTTTCTTCCTCAAGATTGCTTTGGCTATTCGGGGTATTTTGTGTCTCCCAACAAATTTTAAGATTTTTTTGTTCTAGTTTGTGAAAAATGCCATTGGTAGTTTGATAAGGATTGTATTGAATCTGTAGACTACTTTGAGTAGTATAGTCATTTTCACAATGTTGATTCTTCCAATCCAAGAACATGGTATATCTCTCCATCTGTTGGTATCATCTTTAATTTCTTTCATCAGTGAGTTATAGTTTTCTGCATACAGGCCTTTTGTCTCCTTAGGTAGGTTTATTCCTAGGTATTTTATTCTTTTTGTTGCAATGCTAAATGGGAGTGTTTCCTTAATTTCTCTTTCAGAGTTTTCATCATCAGTGTATAGGAATGCAAGAGATTTCTATGCATTAATTTTGTATCCTGCTACTTTATCAAATTCATTGATTAGCTCTAGTAGTTTTCTGGTAGCATCTTTAGGATTCTCTATGTATAGTCACGTCATCTGCAAACACTGACACTTTTACTTCTTTTCTAATTTGGATTCCTTTTATTTCTTTTTCTTCTCTGATTGGTATCGCTAAAACTTACAAAACTATGTTAAATAATAGTGGTAAGAGTGGGCAACCTTGTCTTGTTCCTGATCTTGTTCCAGTGGAAATGGTTTCAGTTTTTCACCATTGAGAATGATGTTTGCTGTGGGTTTGTCATATATAGCCTTTATTATGTTGAGGTTAAGTTCCTTCTATGTCTGCTTTCTGGAGGGTTTTTATCATGGGTGTTGAATTTTGTCAAAAGCTTTTTCTGCATCTATTGACATTATCATATGGTTTTTATCGTTCAATTTGTTAATATGCTGTATCACATTGATTGATTTGAATATACTGAAGAAGCCTTGCATTCCTGGGGTAAACTCCACTTGATCGTGGTGTATGATCCTTTTCATGTGCTGTTGGATTCTGTTTGCTAGTGTTATGTTGAGGATTTTTGCATCTATGTTCATCAGTGATATTGGCCTGTAGTTTTCTTTTTTTTGTGACATCTTTGTCTGGTTTTGGTATCGGGTGATGGCGGCCTCGTAGAATGAGTTTGGGAGTGTTCCTCCCCCTGCTATATTTTGGAAGAGTTTGAGAAGGATAGGTGTTAGTTCTTTTGTAAATGGTTGATAGAATTTGCCTGTGAATCCATCTGGTCC